GGGCACTGCCCCAGCTCACCCGGGCCCCTCCATGCCTCTCAGCTCAATCTGCTGCATCAGGTTTGGAGGCTGCCTGGTGTATCTGTGGGTTGCAGACATCTGTTGGGCTGGGAGGGAGCACAGCTGGGTGGTTCAAGGCCCAAACTGCCAGCATTGACCCAGGGTGAATGTGCGTTGTTTGTGTGGCTCCTTGCGCTGCTCAAATGCCCCCATGAGCACTTGAGTTTTTCTAATGAGGATTTTGAGGGGTGTGAGCGCTTGAAGTTAGTAGAGAAGGGGCAGTAGCTGAGACTATGCATGACCTCCCAAGCAGATTCAAAGCTGAAGCCCAGACACAAGCTCTGGTTGCTGATGTTTGCAGAATCCCACAGCAGCTGGTCTTACTGCTGGTAGTGCCTGCTTGCCTAGCTGAGCCACCAGAGCAAGTCTGCAGCAGGGCTTCTTGGCTGAAAGCTGTCTTAAAGGGCTGGCTACCATTTGTGCTTGCAGCATGTGAATCCTGGTGCAAACAGGACCTGATCTGAGCTGCAAAGTCTCAATCATCACTGATGTGACTTTCTTTCTATTTTCCTTTGTTTGCTCAGCCACCAGCTCACACAGCATCTGCCTGTTGCATTGTGTCTGTGGTCTGGACAAGCTCACCTTTCCAAGCCTCAGAGATAACCTCCTATGCTGGAAAGAGGAACGTCCCCCTCTCTGCTGAGACCTGCTGGAGGTTAGCACAGCCATAGACCACAGTTCACACACTCCTCCTGCCAGCCTCGAGGTGCCTTGTTTGCATTCCCAGCTTTGGGCAGAGCTTCTGCTTTTCCCATTGCCCTTTTGCTTCTTGCTCTAGGTTCCAACAGGCTCCCACTGCCAGCAGGTGATGTTGTTGCTCTGTGACATGAATGGTGTGTGTGTGTGCAGTGGGGAGAATAGGTCAGGAGGTGCTGGGAAATGAGCAGCACCATCGTTTGGATTCGCTCCTTCCATGGAACAAAATGTTGTCCTCCCCCACGTGCTGATCGCCATTCTCTCTGCCCCCACATCAGTGTTCTGTCCTCCTGGAGGGCTGTGCAGGATTATATATAGGCAAACACCAAAAGGCCAACCCAATTTCCATTTTGTTTCAGGTAAGTTTTCTTGCAGACCCATGACAGCCTTGTGGAAACGCAGGTATTTGGGTGGGGAGTGCATTGAAGCAGCAGATGCTATGAGTCCCTGATATGCCTGGAGGTGGAGGCGTGGGACCTATTGGCACTCCCACCCCATAAGCCCAAGGGCAGTGAGCTGACACAACTCTCCTGGAATCTGTCCCGCTCTAACCAGGATTGTTGGGAGGCGGGTACCGAATCTTGGCAGCACAACAAGAGAATGCTGGTTTCTCTGAAATTCCTGAGCTCGTTTGGTCAGGGTGCTGGCATGCAGAGCCAGGGAAGAGTTGGCACGTGCGTGGCTGCAGCAGAGCAGTGGGGCCTGGAGATGGACTGAGGGCTGGCAGCTCAGGATCCCTCCCACATCCCTCCCAGCTGGTAGCAGCTTTGGGTCTGGATGGGGTTTTTGAATGTTCTTAATTTTGTCACTAATCTGTAAGTGGTGGTCCAATTTTGTCCTTCATTTCTCCTCTCAGGGGTGAGATGCCATGCCAAGACTCAGAGCCACTGGGCTAGTAGGCTGTCAGCCCCATCACACCAGTTCTGGCAGTGCTGGGAATCCCACCAGTGACTGGGAAATGTGTGGGGCTCCCTCCAGCTCCTGTTCCCCTAACCCAAAGGTAGGCTGAGGGCATCCCAAAGCTGCAGCTCTCTTAGCAAGTCTGTGCAGGCACTGCTGTTTCCCAGGCACTGTTTGGGAGGTAGAGACCCTAGGGCTGCCCTGTGCAAGCGAGGCACAGGTGGAGGTGGAAACAAAGCAGCTAGACTGGCTGCGGGACAGAACAAGAGGTTTTTCACATGTCTGGGACAGTGAATGACTGGAAATAGTTGGAAGAAAGGTGGGATTTGTGAGATGCAACAACTGTGTTGGGGCAGCCCTCCCTTGTAGCAAACTGAGCTCATTCTCAAGGAGTCTGAAGGGCTGCAGAAGAGGAAAACCCCAGCTATGCTCTGTGCCCAATGGTAGATTCATACAGGGCAGAATTTCCCTGCCTTGTGCCAGTTTGGAGCAAGGCTATGCGAACTCTGTCTCCTTGCCCTGCTGCAGGTAGAGCTTGGCATGCCTGCCTGAGGAGGCAGGGCGTGGGCAGGGGAGGGTGGGCCTTGGCAAACTGGGCATGGTTCAGGTGTTTGCCTTCCTCCTGGATTGGCTATGGAGAGAAGAACTTGGCCTTATATGGTCAAAAAAGCCTATGCCGGCGGTGCTCCTCCCTGTGAAGAGACACGTGGAGAGGTGTGGATGGGCTGATGGGGTCAGGCGTGTTTTCCTCCATCCTCCCCTCCTCTCCCCTCCCTTCTCCAGATACCCTGGAGACAATTATGGCATTTGCTTTGCAGCCAAACGTGGCTCATTCCTGGGGCTTGTAAAAAGGCTGCTTCCCCCAGCGGGTGCTGCTGGTTTTGTGTGTCCCCAAGAGCTGAGGGGTGGTGGATGGGCACAAAATGGTGCCTGTGGTCAGGGTTGAATATCTCATCAAGCTCGGGTGTCTGAGAAGATGGTAGTAGTGGTACAAATCATTGCCTCTCTGCTGGTTAAACCTCTTTTCTGCTTCTTTAATTGCCTGATGGAGTGTCTGGTTAGGAAAACTAAACTGTAGCACAGCCCCTCTCCCCAAAAAGAAACCACAAAAAGGCTCGATCCTGTCTTAGGTTGCAGACAAAGATGTGTGGGAGAAACTGAGGCACAATCCAAGATAAGATAGGAAGAAATATCTATTACAGCTCTTCTCTTTGCACAGAATTGAGGGAGTTTATTTCCCAACGGCTGAGTTCTTGGGCTGAGCCACTTCCATCCCTGGCAATGACTGTGCCGATGGCAGGCTGGGAGGTGAGCCTGGGGGATCTGTCTTTCTCCCCTTATCTTGCACCCTGTGTCTTGCAGTTGCTCCAGATGTGAGCTGGAACCAGGAGGAGCAGTTGTGGGTGAAGTGGGATGGACAGATTAAAGTGGGCTGGAGATTGGACGGTGCTTAGGGGTAGGTGCAGTGGGGGGACCTACTGCAGCAGGACAGGGGACAAGGTGCAGTGGAAAGTCTGTAGAGCTCTGGGGACATCTCTTCTCCACCCCAGGAACATGTTTCCATCTCAGTTCCCATACATTTAACATCATGGAACGTGTGAAAGGCTTTGCCATCCCTCTGGTACGAAACACGAACCTCACTTGCACTGATTTCTCTCATCTAAATTTCCTTGCACTTCTGAGCCTGGCTGCTCAGTGGCCTGCATTGAGCCCAGGTCTGTGATATGTTTAGTCGGAGCCTCATAAAGCTTTCTTTGCTTCTTCTGAAGGAACGTGGCTGAATCTGGAGAGGATAGAAATGCACGAGGAGAATGGGACAGCTATCCATTTACAGGTGGGAGCCTGGTTCCTGCACAGCAGGTGGGCTGAAGGTTGCACGTCCAATGGAAAGCTTGCTTTAACTCTTTATAAAAAAGTTATCTTAGTGATTACTGGCAAGCTTTAGCCCCATGGCAGACCTCAGTGGCTCAATTTCCCTTCATAACCACTGTGATACCCCCACGAAGTGTCCAGGGAAAGGTGTTGACCATACTTTGTACCGTTTCTTGCAACCTGAGTGCTGTTTTCCTTCTCCTGGGAGGCTGGGCTTGCTGGAAGGAAAAAAAAAGGAGAGGGTTGTTTGGCTGTTGCAGTGCTTGGAAGCCTCTGAGTCCTTTGGAAGCTCTTGCAATGGTATCACCTGCCCAGGAGAGGGAGCCTGGAGCTCACACTTGGGTGCTCCCCAGCCCAGGAGGCAGTGGCTCAGGCACGTGGTGCCCTTAGATGTGGTCTGGGGCTCAGGCACTGCCTGGGTGGAAAACAGCAGAGGAGCCCTGTTGCTTCCCTCTGTCTGCTCCAGCTTGTCTCCTGGACTCTGTCCCAGTTGCTGTTGTGCAGACGCAGATATTTGCCTGCTGATCCTCTCTGCCAGAGTCTGCACCACCAGCACTGGCTCTGCTCCTGCTTTCAGCACACAGCTTTATCAATCTCTGGGTTTTGCCCCTGGGCTTTGTCTCACAACTGGGCCATGTCCTGGACATCTGATGTCTCCTTTCCCCTTGCTGGAGTAGATGCTTTGATCTTTGGCCCCAGAGAGAGTTTGAGATCACCTTTGGGAAACCTTTTGCTGTTGAAGTGATGTGGCTTTACCTGCATGCAGCTGTGCTTTGAATTGTGCATACAGCTGGCCAACTAATGAGGTTGAGCTTGCCTTTCTTTCAGCAGCAGCAAAATCTGGTGGCCACAACACTGGCTGCTGTGCTAGCTCAGCTTTATTCCCCTTTTTAGGCTGTCTGCTGCCACCCCAAAGGGAATTGTGAGATCCTGAGTTGGTACTGCCCTGTATTTCTGCAGAATTCAAGAGTTGCGTTGCCCTTCACCGGGGAAAAAAGCTACAGAGCTTCCCCATGGAATTTAACAGCTGCTTTTGCAGTGCAGGCCATTTCTCTGCTGTAACAGGAATTAGCCCTAAGGAAGGGACTGGTCCTTCAGATAAAATCAGCACTTAAGGGATAGCGTGGTGGAGGAGAAGGACTGGTAGATGCACAGATAGGGGTGTCCCAAAGGTATGGGGTCATCTTGGGCATAGCTCAGCTCCCATCAGTGGAGTACAGGAATTATCCTGCTGCCTAAAATCATTGTCTCAGTAGCTCTGTAGCTTGATACCACTTTTCCCATTGGCGGGGGAAACTGAGGCACACAGCAGTGAAGTAAGTGAGACTGTGAGACGGTAAGCTGGGGTTGTCTTAATAGCTGCCCCTTTTCTACCCAGTAGTCCTGCTTTTAGCCTTATGCTCTGGCCATAGGGTTCTTTTCTCAATCTCCTGGGCAGTGGAGAGCTCAGAAACAGGAAAAAAAAAAAAAAATCCACCACCCAGAAACATGAAAGGGAGAGAAAGCAGCTACAAACACTGTACACGACTGAGCTGCTGCTGAGCTCCTGCCCTCCCCAGCCTTGCGATGAGCACGGACCAAAACACCCCACACTCCAGTTCTCCTGCATTGAGAGTGCTGAGCTCCCTTCTGTTCAGGTTTCACCCTGAACAACACCAGCTCTGTCTCCTTCCAGCCGTGCTCCCCGTGCCTCAGCCCCACCCTGCCTTCCCAGAGCCCTGGGCTGCTCAGAGCTCTCATTCATTCCTCTCCTGGGCTCTGTGCACTTTTGCTGTTGCACGCCCTTGCACAAACCCAGCATTGTTCCTTCTCCTGGAAGGTCTGTGCTGGGTTCTGCCTCCAGGGGAAGCTCTGTGCTCAAGTTCCATCTGCTCCTGAGCTGGCAAGCTCACCCTACCCATGGCTCTCCCCTTTCCCCACCCCTACCAGCCTGAGAAATTAAGAGCCCTTGCCTGTGCCATCAGCTGGTGTAACAACTGGGAGCTCTAGCTGTTAGCCTGGAGCATCCTCCCTTCCTCTGATACGCTGATCGTGGAAGCAGAGCAATTCTTTTTGTTAGGCAGCAAAGGGCAGAGCAGAGATGTTGCCCGTCTCAGCTCCTCACTTCTCTGGGGGCTTGTGTGTTGTGGATATCCCATGTGAGCCATAGAATCATAGAACGCCTGGGTTGTAAGGGACCTTAGATGTCATGCAGTTCCAACCCCTTTGCTGTTGGCATGTCTCACCCCTCTACCAGCTGCTCATGTCCAATTCCATGGCCTTGAGCACCTTCAGGGATGAGGCATCCACAGCTTCTCTGAGCAACAGTGCCAGGGCCTCAATCTCCCTCAGCTGTATATGTTCTTGAGCAAGGAGCAGCAAGAAAACCACTGTGCTCTGAAAGAGCACCTCTGAAGTGAGGGGCTGCATGGAAGTGTGGTTCCCTGGTGTAGACGTGGGTCCCAACTGTGCAAAGGTTCTTCTTTGCAGAGTTGCAGGGGGAACTGAGCAAGGGGAGGCTCAGAACAGGGTCAGGGGAGCAGCTTGGTGCCCCTTGCAGAAACACATCATCTCCTGAAGATGCTGTGTGCCCAGTGGGGAGCTCCCCAAAACCATGGCTTCATATTTGCCCCTTCAGCCCTGTGCTCTTCTCCCTGAGGATCTGGACCAAGCAAAGTGTCTGGGAAGCAATTTCAGCTTTGTTTGGCTGTGAGGGATTAACCAGAATTATCAACCCTGGCAGCTGAGGAAGGAATTGCCATTTCAGGTGGGTTGTGGTAAGAAATGCAGAGAAAACCATGAATGCAATGTTATCCATGTGTCACTCAGTACTTTATTATAACTCTGGAGAGCAGGTGTTCTGGTTACATAGATGCTACAGTCGTTGTCTACCCTACAGAAACATGGAAATGCTGCGATGCACTCAATGGAGATGCACCATGAGGCTGATAACAGCTCCTGTGAACTCAGGTGGGGCTACATGGCAGTGATTGAGGTCAGAGCCTGGCCTCATGAAGGAAAATACTGCAGGGCTCTGCCTGTGTCAGTGTGTATAAGAGGGACACAGCAGTGCCTGTGCTGAGGCCAGGACTGCAGCTATACAGTGGGCTCCAGAAGCTTTGGTGCAACGTAGCTGGTGTGCATGAGCAGGGATCAGCCAGGTAAGATAAAAGCCACTACAGAAGTGCAATAAATACAAAGACAAGTCCTGCTTGTTTTAGTTAGATGGGAACCACAGACTATCTCATTTCTAGGACCTAGCACCATTACATGTGAAGTCTGGAGTGCCTTTAGGGGAAACAGGTAGAGGTGCTCTCTATTAGAAAGAGGTGGCTTATCAAAATAAAAGCTGAAGGAGTTTTAGCTTTAGTGGCATGGGAAAGAATGAGGGGCCACCCAAAAGGCAGTAAAATTGGTTAAACGCTCTGAAGTAGGCAAGGATTCCCAAATAGAGCCAGCATGTTTGTCAGCAGACATGCAAATACAGATGTCACAAATTCACCTGGCTTGGGTTGATAGCCCACATCTCCCCCAGCTCTGCTTGGAAGGCTTGGAGCTGCCTTCCATTGAAAGCCACATCAGTGAGCACCTCTTGGACGTGCACAGAGCAGAGACAGATCAGAAAGAATGGTTTTGTAATACTGGTAAACTGGCTGGGCTGATGGCTACTGTGTTAAGAGCTTGTGTAATAATACTTTCCCCTCCTGGCAAGCTCCTATAGATAGATCTCAACGGTTATGAATGCAGATCCTCTCTGGAAACAGACCTAAAGAGGAAGAAGATGTCAGTATGGTTTCATACAGGAGAGGTTCTAAAACCCTGGGTTGATTTCTGCTTGTAACTGGTAACAGAGATGTTAAGTGGGATGCTGTGAAGATAAAAGGGACAGCCTGGAGTGGATTCCCATCCTTCAGCCCTTGGACATTGGCTTTAGTTCGGGAGAAAGTGCTCTGGCCTCATTGATCTCCAGGTGCCATTGGGTCTGGGTTGTGCTGTGGGGCTCCATCTCTCCTAGGAGCATTGTTCAGTGAGCAGGGAGCTGAGCTTTGACCGGGCACTGCAGGTGTAGGGATCTGCTTCAGGTGCTGCCAGGTTATCACTGTGGCTTCTGGAGAGCAGAGATTTTGTGCAGCCTCCGTTCAGCTTCATCTCACCATTGGCACTGCCTGTTCCCCTGGCAAACAGCTTGGAGTTCCTTAAGGTGCTGGCAGAAACTGCTGGGCAGGGGAAGATAAGAGGGGGTGAGCTTAGAGATGTTTTATTTATGCTTCATTTCACCATTTTGTGTGAATAAAACCACTTACGGTGCTTTGGTCTGGAGTGGACGGTGCTGATGACTGTGGGTATTGGTGACTCCATGCTGTGAATATAAGGAGAGAATGTGTTAATATCTGCAGTTTCAGAAAGGTCTGGAGGGCTTGAGTTTGGCTTATGAGAGCTGGGCTTCATGGGCAGAGCTAAGTGCATGGTTGGGTTGGGAAGGCTGACTCAACAGCATCTGGGAAAAGCAATGTTAGAGAAGTGCTGGTGCTTTTCAGTCTGAAGGGTTTGAGGAAAAGTTCAGAGCCAGAGACAGGGCTGAGCTGTATGGGGACTTCTGGGATTTGCTCTTTATTTAATCAGTCCTTTAATACCAGACTCAAAGCAAGGGGTGTCTGCTTTCTCCCTAGGTGTTTGCATGCATCCCTCCCACTGCTCAGGCACAGAGAAGCCCACCTCACCTGCTTTCCTCTCCTTCCACCAGCTTCCTGTAAGTGAGGATCTCCAAATCCAGGGCCAGCTTGATGTTCATCAGCTCCTGATACTCTTTCACCAGGTGAGCCATATCCTCCTTGCTCTTCTGTAAGGCTTCTTCTAGCTTGACCAGTTTGGCTTTGGCATCCTTGAGGGCCATCTCACCATGCTCTCCTGCTTCTTTGATATTCTCCTCTAAGTACAAGCACTGGTATTACAAAAGGAGAGAGAGTAACAGAAGTGTTAGACGTGTTGTAGTTTCAGATCTGCCTGTCAGAGCTTTGTCACCCACCCCAGGACACACCTGGCTTTTTTGGGACACGATGCAGGACCTCAGCTTCTGGATTTGGATGTTTAGGTCTGCAATCTCCCGTCGGCTGTCGAGGAGGTGACCCCCATAGGTGGCTGACTGGGTGTTCCCTTCATTCAGCTGCAGGGAAGATGGAAGCACATGTTATCTCTTGCTCCTTTGCTGTAGCAAAGGAATCTAGTAAGTTTCCCACTGCCCCTGGGGAGAAATGCCTAAGTAGGGGAAGAAATAGCTGGTATGTGGAAGGATTTAGGGCTCGCTCTTATAGTGTCTTCTAGCTGTACTGTAGGCATGGAACACACTGTCCATTGGTGTTCACCACATTCTTGCTTGCTCTGTACCAGAGGAAAATCATTTGCATCCTAAGTGGGCCAAGTTACCACTAGGCAATGATCTTGCCTTCCTCAGTTGGCAGTGCGGAGAGCCTTGGGCTGTGAAACTCCTGATTTACACACGAGTTAGAAGAGATTGATCTAGGTTAGCGTCCTGTCCCTCCTTCCATTCCCAGGTGTAGTTTGTCTCTCCACATCTTGCTGAGTCTTGTTGTTTCTTTTTCCCTCTTCTCTCCCTCCTCGCCCCATACCAATCAGATAAGGGGACATACCTTTCTCCTGGTAAGTGCTTCAGCCTCCTCCCAGCTCCGAAGAGCCAGGGCTTCGTACTGAGACCTCACTTCTTCCACAATCCTGCTCAGGTCAAGCTTGCACGTGTTGTCAATTCCCAGTACAACAGAAATGTCCTTAATTTCTGTCAGCAGCTCCTCGAGTTCCTGAATAACAGAGAATAGAGATATCAAGTGTTGAACAATGCTACTTGCCACAAGAAAGCTGAACTCTGGCAGATCTGATGTCCTGAACCAGGCAAAGTGTCTTCCTGATATGCAGTGTTGGATGGGGAGACTTTGTAGGTTTTTATTCTTTGAAGTTCTGTATCTGGTATTTTTTTTTCCCTTAAATTCAAGCTCAGGCTATGGTATGAATTTAAGACCTTTGGGTAACATATGTTACTTGTCAAACAAAATGGTGTGTTTGCACTTCATCAAAAGCAGGTTAATTGCAGGTGATGCTTCAGTATCTATTGATGTTCAGATGGTGGGCATATCTGTGCAGGGCAAGAAATAGGGTGTTAGTGGTTCTGCAGCTAGTGCTTCCATGAAGATGCCTTTACTCAGCTCTGCTTCAATATCTAGAGAGGCAGGGGCTGCCACTTCTGTTGTTACAGTCTGCTTTGTGTCTAGGAAGATAAGGGAGAATGAAGACCCTTCTGTAAACACATCCATGGTTGGCAGAGCTGCTTCTGTATGCTGGAGAAACTCAAACCAGCCCTGGGGGGTGAGAAACAGGCATGCACAAGCTACACTATCACTGACTCGAGTATTTACTCTTGATAGTTGACTCGGTCACAGAAGGAGTCAGACAATGATGAATGCAGTGAACCTAAAAAAGACCCTTCATCTCTGCCCGTAAACTGCTCTGCTGGGTAGTTTGTATCCTGACAAGACAAGACCTGATGCCTTGCACCAAACAGATACTGTACACGTTCACTTGGCAGCTCCCCCAGCCTCAGACTGCTCCAGCAAAGGTTCATTCCTATCAGTTTCTCTGCAGTTTCTTCTGATTTGCACCAGTAGGAGCAGCATACATCTCTCCCCATCTTTGCTTTCATCTCAGTGTTTTTTGTTCTTCCCTTTTGTACAGCTGCCTCTGATCTCTTAGAGAAACACCTGTATGCCTTGTTTGCCTTCCCCTCCCCTGACTGGGAAACAAAGAGCACCCTGATGTGGTGATTCATGAGGAAAAGGTACCCCACTGATCTTACAGAGAATGGGATTATCAGTGCACTTTTTCCTAGCTGTTATTAAATCCTTGTGCTTCCTTGTTAATGTTTGAGCACGGCAGTAGCTGTATGAGAAAAGTGATGTGTAGTGCAAGTACTCTGCTAAATAGAAGAGGGGAAAAAAGATGAAGAGGACCAAAGCTGGGTGCTTTTCTGATTCATACTGACATGCTGTGAGCAAATCTATCCCACATTTCCCTCTGCATTCGCCCCTCTGCTGGGTATGCGTGCCCATGCATTGATGGCAGTCAAAGCAATTGGTGCAGGTGAGGAAATGACTGATGTGAAAACCAGCTTTGGAGGGGAGGGAGAGAGAGGTGGGAGGTGATTTCTTTGCATGGAGGATACGTTAAGAAATAGTGCAGACTGCTGCTATGAACAGCAACATAGGACCTAGAAGAAATCAGACCTGGAAGATGGAAGCATCCTGGTATTTTGGGTAGGATCTGATATCCCACTGAAAACTGCTTTGCACCAGGAGTGATCATTTTAGAGGAATTCAGGCGTCGTGCTTGGATGTGTTCTAGCATAGTTCTGTTAGTGTGCAGGTCATTCTGCTTCTCCTGCCTCAGTTCTCCCACAAAGGGCAGTAGCACTCCTCTGCCAAGCATTCTAATTGTTTGTATTGGTAGAATTCTGACAAATCATTAGTATTCCCCAAACACTGCCTAGCCTGCTTGGTAGCATTTTACAGGCTCTGAGTAAGTGGCTGAAATCACATTGCTGTGTTTGAGGAGATGCAGGCATGCTGCACCCTATGGGCTTATTCAGATGCCGTATCCTTCCTCCCCTTGGTGAAGTAATCTCAGTTTGGTGCAAATTGGGAACAAAGCCCTCTCTGTATTGGAGCTATCTGCAAAAAAAAAAAACCTTTTTTCGTTTGGCCTTGCCTGTGTGCCAAGGCCACCCTCCCAGCTGCATTTCTACCTGCTCATAGATGGTTTTCTTCAGGTCCATCAGCTCTTGGAGCCCGCTGAGTTTCACCTCCAGCTCCGTTCTGTGCAAGGTACTGGCATCTAAATCCTGCAAAAGGTGTATTAACAAACAGTTTGAGTGTATTAATGAATAATTGGAGAAGTCCTTGCTGCTGCCCCATCATCTTCAGCAACTTTCTGCCTGCTGTGTAGTGCCTGGCACTCATGGAGCTGCTCTTCGAGCACAGAAGCTCCTGTGTGATTTCAGCTCTGCACTTTTTGTTTCAGTGTTTTTTTTTTTGCTTTTTCTTCTCTTTTCTTTCCCCTTAGGTGAGAGCTTAGGTAGACATCTGCAATGGAAGGGTGGAGAAGGAAACAGGCAGGGCTGGTCCATACCCACTCATCTTTTGTTCACCACAGAAAGCAGGGGTTATTGAAAACTGATGCTGTCCACAGAAGTCACCAGAACTGCCCCTACTGGCTGATGGCTGCGTCAGGGAAAACATGCAATTAGCCATAATGATCATTTGTGGAGAACATTTCCTCTGCCTAATAATATCCTGCATTCCTACACCTTTGATTATTTTTTTTTAATATAAAGACCGTGCACAAAGCCTTCCATTTGAGCTGATATTCAAATGCAGCTCCTCCTGGGACGGGATGTTTGTGCAGGGTGTGGCCGTGCAATGTTTTGTGGAAACAAAAGCAAACACATTTATCAATTTCCAACCTTTCCCAACCTGTGCTGTCATTCAGAGAGAATGCACAAAGGAGAAGCATTGCTTTGAAGGGTTCTGGGGTGCAGTGTGGCTCTGCCTGACCCCTATGCTCCTGCCATAAGCCGTGGGGCTTTTCTATAACCACAGGTGGCTCAGATTCCCTTATATTCTCCCTGTTGAAATGGTGGCCTTGTTCACCACGCTGCTGTCTTCCTCAAAGCCTTACTACCCTACAAAACCTCTGTGGTATGAGGGCTCTCGTGCTTCTGGGCAGCTCTGGACTGTCCTGGCTGAGCCTGGACCACACTGCCTCTCCCAGGCTGTTCTGTGACTGCAGGACTGGTGTACAGACCACACAGATGCAAAGCTCCTCTTGTGACTCACCTTCTTGAGCTCCATGAAGGTGTATTCCATGCCGCTGCAGAGGCGAATCTCATCCTCATATCTAAAGAGAGGGGGAAAAAAGCAGACAGAAATTGCACAAGCCAGTCAGATGCTTCAGGTTGTCTCGCTGGCCCCCCAAAAAGCATTGGTATATAGGCTTTCTGCTTTTACCATCTCGTCCCACCCCCTTCAGAAGGTGTGAGATATCTTAGGTGTGAACATGAGAGAGAGGGCAACAAGCTACCATATGCCAGCTTAACACCATTAGCACCTTCAGCCTGAAAAACTCCAGAGCACAGAGCAGGTAGCTTTAACACTAATTTAATTTGAGGGTTAAGCAACCTCAGGATACCTCACGTTCACCACTGATAGAGAGCAGGCACTGTGAATTGAGGTATGGTGAATTGTTCTTGGTGAATTATTCTCCATGAAGCCCCGATTTCTCACCCCAGCTCTTTTTTTCTCTTTCAGATATCCTCAGCATTTGGTTTCCAATGTCTGAAAAGCTTCTCAAAGGAGGAAGCTTTGGATTGCGTAAAATCAAGAAAACAAACAAACCAAGAAAACAGACTGCATCATGGCCTATCTTAAATGTAAGCACAATTTATGAAGGAACAGAGGACATGACAAAGCATTTCATGGAAAACATTGCCCACAGAGCAAAAGGTAGCAAAAACCAGATGGGACAGGGTGGAGTGCTAACATCCAGCAAAGGAACCAACCCTGAAGGTGTTTAGAAACAGGTTTGATAAGGAGTAGGACAGCAAAGACTTGGTCCAAGGGCAAGCATGTTTCCTGAAGGTTGGCAGCAGAGCCAGGAGGATAGTTTAGGGAATACACCAGCTCTTTGGGACACAGAGTCTCTTTTGGGCTAGATCTGTGACCAGCAGATTGGTTGACTGGCTGTGCAGGACACCAGGAATTTTGTGTGATGGGTGCAGGGTTATAGGAATTATAGGAATGCTGGTTCTGCTGAGAATGGAGGAGGTGGTTCTCTTAGAGAAGCCTGAGCTTCCCTGCTCTTCTGTGACACCTCCAGCTCCTCTTACCCAGATGTGCTCAGAGCATTTCCAGGCTGGGAATTAAATCTTTGAGTGCTACTTCTATGTCATGAAATTGGTATGGGGAAGGCTGAGACATTTAGGAAACAGGTGAAATGGCATCTCCTAACAGAGAGATGATAATGAAATCAAGAATGGCAGCCATTCCATGGGCAGATGGGACAAGGTGGGAATAGCTTTAAACTGAAAGAGGGGAGGATGGGATAGGATATAGGGGGAAATTCTTTACTCAAAAGAGGGTGAGGCCCTGGCAGTGCTGCCCAGAGAAGTGGAGGTGCCCCATCTCTGAAGGGGCTCAGTGCCATGGATGGGACCCCTGGGCAGCTGATGGAGGGTTGGGAGCAGCCCAGGGCAGGGAGTGGGGCTGGAGGAGGTTTGAAGTCCCTTCCAACCCAAACCACTCTATGATTCTATGCTTGAATCTGTTCTTTGGCAGTCAGGTGTGCATCGCTCCAGTTAGAAGTGAGCCTCCTCTGCTGCTTCCTTAACAGAAAGAGGGGCTGTGCCTAGGGGCAGAAAGAGGAACAAGCATTGGGAATGCAGCCAGGAGATTGCTTCGCAGGGCAAAAGGGATACATCCTGTCCTGGAGCTGATCTGGAATGTCAGAAACATTTCCCTTGAATTGTTGCTTTCTCCAAAGAGGGGACAGTGAGGGCACAGAAGGATCTGACTGTCACACGTCCTACAGTTGGGCACTTCTGAGGTTCCCTTTAGGTTCCCCATGGTGTTAAACTCACCCTCTCTTTGCCTGTTCTTATAAGGCTAGGCAGCGTGGCTAGCAAGATTTACCTGTCTGGTTTTTCTGCTCTATAGCTGGAATGTTAGCTGTGTTGCCAGTAACTATGTACCGAGCTTAATTACAGCCTGCCACTCTTCCTTCATCCTCATTGCATCTCAGCCCAATCCCAGTCTGTCCCAGCCTGCCAAAGCAGCTTCAACGCATTGCCGGGCGCTGACATAATCTCTCATGTGGAGCAAACAACGCTCCTGACTGAAAGGGGAGCAGGCCAAGCCAGCCCGACGCGCTCACCACACGGCTCCAGAGGGACCTGGCAGCCAGGAGGTGACTCACATGGAGATGGAGCCTTCTACAAACTCATCACAGCATTTATCTCCTTCAAGGTAATCCTCAAGCAATCATGCATAAAGGTATAATCCATCCTATCTCACTTTAACAGCACTTGAGATGGGCGTCTGGTCGCCTTGGGCTCCTTCTGGAGTCAGTGGAACAAAATTCAGAGCTGAGCTGAATCTCAGGCAGGATACATTCCTCTCTGGATGTACCTTCAAGGCTATCTGAGGGTAAAGATACAGTGGTGGGAAGGATCTGAGCCCAGCAGCACGGAGCTACATCAGTGTGTCTGCTGCAGAGCAAGAAAATGGAGTAGGGAGCAGCTGAAAACCAGCTGTAAAGATTGAAGGTGAAGGAGTGCTGACTGACAGTGTTCAGGGGGAAAACCTAATTATCACAAACTCTGGCTTTTAGACCCGGCCCCTCTGAATGTTGTTAACTCTGTATTTTCCTGCAGTCTTTCTCCAGTCCCACCCCTGAGTTGCTCAGCACATGCAAAAATTCTGTGCCTGCTCATTCAAATGGATTTTTGCATGTGCAAATTGCACATGGGGAGCTGAAGCAAGCTCTGGGCAGTCACCCCTACCTGAGCGCGTTTCAGTTTTGGCATGATTTCCTAAAGAAGCAGCATTTGAGACCCCCTGTGAGACTTTAACCCCCTCCCTTGTCACCTCTCCATCCTCTTCTGTCTTTGGAACCATGACAACAGATAGCAACACTGCTCAACGGTAACCTAAAGAGGTTGGAAGAAGTGAAAGCATCCCAGATAGCTAAGTCTCCTGTGTTTTTTTTGCAAAGCTGTCCCTGAAGAGAGAGGAAAAAAGACAAATTGGAGTCTTTCTGAGGATGCTGACAGGCAGATTTTACATGTGAGCTGTTGGGCAGCAGCCTGCTTGCCTGGCTGCTGTGTGCACAGTGCTCTGTGGAGGTGCCACAGCAAGGATAAGTGCATATCCATTTAAAATTGGAATTCCTGCCTTTTGCTTCTCCCAAAATATTTCCCCTGGGAAAAATAAACCTCTACAGGAGCTGGAAACATCCAAAATTTGCATGGATTAAGCAGCCCATTTACTCCAGGGAAAAAAAACTGGGCAGACGCAGTCTTCTTGACTTGCAGGACTCAACAGGGCTGGTGTGGGTTAGCATGGGGCTGGAGCACTGCCCTGGGATGCTCAGCAGAAGTAGCAGTGCTCTCCCCATTGATCACCAATGGCTGAAGGCAGCATGGTGGGCTTTTGCTGTGGCAGAAATCGACCTGGATTTCTGCTGCCTGATAATACTGTGTGTGTTTGCACGCTGTGTTTTTATCCCCTGTGTGCTGGGTGGGATGTGGGTCCTGTTCCTCAAAACAGTTATGATTTCTGAATTTCTAGCAGCGTAGCATCTCTGCCTCTTCTGCTCTTAGCTTAAACTGTCCAAGATCGAACATTAGGGGGAAATACACAGCCTGTTTGGATACGTACCTCTACCCTTAAGAAATCAGGTTGAGAAATAACAATATTAAGTGCCAGATGTGGGCAATTAGTAAATTAATTTGAGTACAAATAGGAGTACAGACTGGGAGAGCAGATGGATTTGGCTGATATGATGTCTCTCCACAAGCCTGCCTATTTTCCTGATTTATGGAATAAGCCAAGAAGTGTCTTCTGTAAGTACAGAGCCATTGCTTCCTGGGGATGTGCAAGGAGGAGCAGGAGCTCCAGAGAGGTATGGAGGTCTTAAAACCTTTTAGGATAGGGAGTAAATGGTACAATCCCTATAATGTCTTTGATCCAAGTTCAGGGTTGCTGTCTGTCAGCAAAGCAAGCATCAGTGATTCCAGGTCTTCAAGTGAAACCAACATCTCAAAGCAGGAGCATCTCCATGAAGAATTTAAGGATTTGCAGTGCATCAGTTCTAGAAGGAGTATAAAGTCAGGAACCAAACTCCTAAGTCCATGTCCTGCTCTGCCATCAGCTTGAGTAAATTTAACTGCTGCCCTGTTCTATCTGTCCATAAGTTCCTTCTGGATACCTTCATGGAGGTATCAGTCTTTCCCCTGATCTGCAGACGTGTTGAGCAGCTGGCTTAATCAAAGCCTGCAAAGATCACTGAGATCCTTGGCCTAAGCTCTCTGGATAAGGGTGCTGTTGTTATTCACACATCACATCATGCATCAGGAAGAGGTGTGGGCTGTTATTTCAGATGTCTGTCAGTGCCAGCAGAGGGGTTGGCCCTTAGCTTTGTTGTTCTGTTTTGACAGTGCCCACAGGTGGGTCCTCCTCACTGCAAATCAGCATGAAAGTGCCAGAGATCCTGTATAGGCAAATGGGTGTAACTGGAAGGGAAAGTATCTAATTGTGGATTCATCTGTGTGGCATGCAAATAACACCGATAATAAGGAAAGCATTGTTTTCTTAAATGAGCCCTGCTGCATCTCAGATGTTATCTGAAGATCTGAAAGCTGTTGACAAAAGCAGCAATAAGCCCTCTGCAGCCAGTCCTCTCAAACTATCATCTGCCTCGATAAGTTCTATCCAGAGGTTTAGGTTAGTGTTAGGTTAGAATTTAACCTTTTGGTGAAAACAAAACTTTGCTTTAATTTCTGGGGGGAGGAGGAGGAAAAGAGAGGCAGTCTGTTAATGCTAAAGGGCCCAAAGCCATAGATTGATCTGGGTAGAAAGCTTTGGTTTGTGATAACAGTATGGAGAATAACTAATTTTGTTTTATTGGCTGTCATTCCTGGTAGTATTGTTTCCTGTGCTCTGACCTCAGATGCCCCCATACTTTCTATAGGTTACTTTCATCTCTAGTTAGGAAGAGGGTAGGAAACCAACTTCTCAAATATGCAGTCCTCTTTTTCTCTGGAAACAGCACCCTGACTGCTTTCAATCAGTGTCACACCACTCCTTGTCCCACAGCTTAACCAGCATCTTGCAAACATCCCCCCCCTCATATATGGAGCCACGTTGGACACCTACTTGCTTCGGAAGTTATCCATGGTGCTCAGGACCTCTGTCAACTCTGACTCGAGATTTTCTTGCTCGTAGTTGAGTGCCTGCATCTCTTGATTCATTTTGCTCATGTACTGATCGTAAATGGCCTTCATGTCTGATTCGGAGTGGGAATTGTCTTGATCCTTTAGGAAGTTCCACCGTGTTGTCAGGATCTTGTTCTGTTGCTCCAAGCATTGGACCTGCCAAAGGGATTGCAGAGACCTCAGTAATTCTGACAGCCTCCGGTCTGGAGACCTCAGCAGCAATGAAATTCTGCTGGGCTTAGCTGAGATCTCCAGGTAAGAGCAAGAAATCCTCTGAAGATCCAGGGCAGGGGATGAATATAGGGACTAACAGAGGTTTTATGCATTTCGTGCTGCTTAATTTCTTAACAGATCACATTCATGTGAAAATGAAGAAGCATCTCTTATTAAGTCACTGAAAAAATAAAAGCTGATCTATGCTGGTCCCCTTTGCCTCCAAACGTATTGAAATAAAGGCTGAAAAACCACCGTAGCTCATGCCCAGATGTCTGGGGTGAATGGAATTCTGATTTACTGCCTCAAAGTGGCACAACTCACTCCCCTCTAATCTGTAGGATTGCACCATGGTGAAGCCTGAGCAATGAATCACAGTCTTGGTTTGTATTGCAAAGCAGTGTAGATGAGAACTATGGGAGCTCTGCAGAATAACTGAAATAATTAGGCTCCATGTGAGGTCCCAGAGTGCCTATCTGCTAAGAGGATATGTTGCATTCTGATCCACCCACTATCCAAATCTGACACTCTTCTTTCCTGATGCTCTCCATTCTGAAGAGTAATGCTGAGTGTTCAACAGTTTTCACATTCAAAGCTCTTGACTAACGTTAATTAATTATTTAATCATCACCTCTCCTCATTGCTCTGTGAGGGAAACCAAACTCCCTCCGTCACATTTTGGCTGTGAGCTCCAAGCTGTCAATTGCCTTAACTCTGTTCAGGAGATGATTCAATGCTGATATGAGTTCATCTGTGCTATGAGGAAGATGCAGCATCACCAGTACACCATATAGCGAGAAATGGGGTACAAGGGCTATCAGGCCTCGATCTCCTCCTTGGGCTTCAGTTTTGGCCAGGAGAACAGCAGTGAATCAGTGAGACAGAGTGATCAGGTCTGAGCACTGCATAAATATGGAAAGGAGTGAGCATCATTCCCAGCTTCTCATCTGAGCAGAGGGCAGCCAAGCAAAGCAGCAATGCTCGGATGCTTATAGTTGCGTATGCGTGTTAAAGGTCTTTCAGGTCTTGCTGTTGGAGACCTACTCCTTCCTTATAGGATAACACGTGTCCATAGACATCAATTTGGCAGTGCAGTTTGGTGACTGGCTGCCTTGTCCTGGCACAAAAACAGCATCGTGCTGTGTATGTGCGCACGCGTGAGGCCAGGCAGCTCAGTGGCATGAGGAAGTGGCCACTGGGGCTACCAGTAACCAATTGAGCCATTTGTTCTCTCCATCTGAGGCATCTTTGGGATTGCACAGCGGGACTGTGGTCAGTGGGGCCGGGATCAAACTGTGGGGTTGGATGTAGAGAACAGCCTCTCATTTTATGGCAGCTTTCCCATTCGCTGCTAGAATAGTCAGTGTTTGCATTGGCTGCTGATCCAAGTCTCTTCCTGACCCCGAAATGAAGTCTTGGTTCCTGACCTTGCTCCTAACAGTTTGTTGCTCTTTTTTCTGTACCTAAATCTCTAGTTTTTACCCTGTTCCCAAAGCATACCCACCCACCAGGCTGAACTGCTTTCATCCTGCCATCTTACACGGCATCCCTCTTCAGCAGAAATCCTTTGCAAAGTCACGAAATGTGAGCTTTGTAGCAGAAGAATCACTTAAATCAAGCCTAATTTCCTGGAAGAATAAACACAGAAGTGACCAAAGCTTGGACCTTGGAGGCCTCTGCATCTGAGCTGCTCAGGGTGAAGGCAGAGCTTCAGGCAGGGATTCCATCACTTGGCTGTTGACTGTCTCCCACTTGCACATATCTGGATCAGATGAAAAGGCAATGCTAGCAGATCTGGAACAGCCTGCTGGAAACCCATCAGCAGCAAACTCCTGCAGTTATTGTTGTCAATTATCCGAGGAATCAGCAGCTCGGGCTTCAGACCATCTGAATTCCTGATTAAAAAGACAAGGTCTCTGTGACGAGGAAGCGTCATTAACTTTCTTCTGGAATGAAGGCCTAAGGCAGGTGGCTGAAATTTCCCACTTATGTACCACTTGAAGCTGCAGCCTTCAAAGCTAACTGCAGAAGCTGCAGGTGCTGAAGTCAAAGCCTCTTAACTAAGGAGGGTTATTTGTATCTTCTGTCCATCAGGCCCTGTAATGCACACTTATCAGCAGGTCACCAGGTTGGGTTTATCAGGAAATCTAGAGGCTGTCACTTCTTCCATCTCCATTTGTGTGGAACAGGCTGGTGCCTGTGGTCAGGCTCACGTACATTCTGTTACTGTGTGGTCTTCTCTCATCTCCCCTGCCCCCATCCTCTCACCCAAGGTCTGGTTTCTGAGCAGGGCTCAGTACACACACACCCCTCAACCTCGTGTTCTGGGTGGTTGAAGGACCAGGACAGTAGCACATGCAACACATCACTCTCCAGGTGATTTCCAAACCACTTGTTCTCCAAATCCAGGCCAAGATCAGTGCTTAGGAAAGCAGAAACTGCAGAGGCTGCTGTGTTCCTCTGTGCAGGGTCAGCCCCTGGCACTGCTGTACACTGTTGGCACATGGAGGTGTGGTGGGTGCACAGCTCTTCGTTGGGATGGATACTGGGGGAGGTGGATCCCCACCCTCCTCTTTTCCAGCGTGAGGTCAGGTCCTTTTAGAGACTGACTTAAAGAAAATAGTACTGAAAAAAATAAAATAAAATCCCAAGCTGTAGTAGCTTGGCATTGAGTGCCGGTATTGTAGACTGCAGTGAAGCAATCCTAGGAGATTACCATCTGTTTACAGAGCACCAGGGCTTTGCAGAAACCTGCCTTGGCTGGATGAGTTGTTTTCCTTTGAGAAAAATCTTCTGCCTTCTCATGGCTCTTTTAAGAGATGAAAGCGACACTTTCTTGGCTGAGCGTGCAACCCCTCGTAGTGCAAACCGCAGAGGAGGGAGGTGGGTGGGGGTTATCCCTTGCCCACCATGCAGCTACAAAGATGAATTTCCAGCTGTCTCTCTGCAGCCACTGTAGTCAGCGTTACTGCCCATGGCCATATGTCCATTGCAGGACCAAGGCCTGCTCCATCCATGTCCCTGCTGCCCAAGCAGGAAGGTCCCCGTCCCTTCTGTGCTGCCCATGTTGACCAGCACAGTACAGGAGAAGCACAGGCTGCTGACCACAGCTATGGCCCAGCTTCACCTAGAGGTGATGGTAGCCCTTGTGCTAAGAGATAGCACTGAAGAAATATCTAATTGGGTAATTAGTCTCACATTTGGAGCCTGGCAGTGGTTCACTGAAGGCCTTCATGAGCCTCATGGCAGCGTCTGCATCCACTTCCCCACCACCACCACCAGCATCCCCATCCCCACACCACAGCAGCTCCCCATACCTTCTCAATCAGGGTCACAAACTGGTTGTTGAGCAGTTTGATGTCCTCCTTCTCCTGCTCCCGCACAGCATGAAAGTCGGTGTCGATGTCAAGATGCACAGGAGCCAGGAGCCTGCCATCAATGGAGAGGTAAGAGGAACTCTGGTACCCACCATCTCCATGAAGGGCCCCAGAGCTGGGGCTGCTCACACTGCTGGGACTGCAGCGGCCCAGGCTCTCCGGGGATGTGCTGCCTGCTCTGCCTCGGCTCATCCCCCCTGATGCCTCCCAGGAGCAGAGGGAGCCACTGCTGAAGGCTTTGCAGGGGTTAGTCATGCTCAGCTCGTGGCACTGCAGCTGTAGGGGAGTGCCCTACAGAGAGAAAGAAAAAAGGAAAAAAAAAAAAAAAAAAAAGAGGTGAAGTTTTCTTGCTGCTGCTGCCTCAAAGGGAGGAGAGCAGTGGCACGCTGAGCAGCTTGGGCAGCTAATTCCTGTCTCCTCAGCTCGTGGGTTGGCTAATAAATTACAAGCACCTGTTCTCCTATGTTCATTAAACGGAGGAGGGTGTAACCGTTGATGTAATCCAGATCAACCTGTTGGCTTCTCTCTCTTTTTTTTTTTTTTTTTCTTTCCTCCCTCTCTCTGTACCCTCCTTTCTTCAGGAGCTTGTTTGTGTGGTGAAGGCATAGGCATTCACAGCAAAAACAAATCACTCCCAGGTAATTCGCTGGGCCCTGAGCAGCTGCTTTCCTCGTCCTTAAATGGTGAAGAAAGCAAGCAAAGGAGCTGGGCTGCAGCAGGCAGGGAGTGCAGCGCTGAGCAGGGCTGCAAGCACACACCTGGGTCATGGAGCCTGGGCTCAGTCTTCTTGGGTTTACAACCAAAGGAATTGTGGCTTGTTTTTTTTTTTTTTTTTTCCTAATAGAATGAAGGAGCTGAGGAAATCATAAAGGAAGGCTCAGAGTTTGCTAAGGTTGGATGTTTGGAGAATGCTTTCTGAGCTCGTTGGGATTAGAGGTGCTCATGGTTGACCACAGAGAAACTTCTGATGCTCTGAGTGTTTGGAGATGGTGGGTCTGCTTTTGGGACCCCTCGGTGCAGGGGGATGAGAGTCATTGAGGTTATTTGGTCCGACAGAAACGCAGGCGTTCAAAATAGACACCAGATTGGATCCCAGAAGTGCCCATGCCCCTCTGACACCTGCGTGTCCCAAAAGCCCTTTAAAAGCAAGTTCTGGAGACACCAAAAACCACTCTCTTTTAATAAATTCTAGCCTGCCAAGGTGGCACGCCCTTAAGTACTTGTTTGGACCTAGGAATAAACCAGCATTGGACACTGCTCTCCTGAAAGTGTTTTTCAGCTTTAACGCAGTTTCTCGTGTGAAAAACGAGGACAGAACACCTATTTCTGCTTCCTTTGCTTTGTGATGCTTTCAGAAAAGGGGATGGTCTTCTCTGGCCGAAAGGTGGAATTTCCATTCTGTGGGAAAGCTGCTGCTTTACGGTCTGGTTGGAAGGCGAGCTGGGAATTTCCCCACCGAGTGAAGTGGGAGAAAGCTTGGGTCTGTCACAGACTTGCTCCAACAAGAACTGTGTCTGATGGGGGTGTAGTTTCGGTCTTGTAGAAGACTTCATAAAGAAGCTGACCCATTCCAGTAGGATTTAACCTTTCTTCAAGCGCAGTTTTAGTATTTGGCCAACGTCCTTTGCCCAGCGGCGCATCCATCTGACACTTCCTTGGGTGATCCATTTGAATATTAAGTCCCTCACTTCGTGGATCCCTGTCAAAACTTCCCAGCTTAATCTTGAGGATTTAAAGGATTAGAAGGATGTTTATGGCTGGGAGGTGACAAAGCTCGTGGCTCTTGCAAGGCGAGGTGAGATATCTGCCTCATCACGGACTGCTTGTGGCTTTGCGGTTGCAGGCACATCGATGTTCCTGATTAGCATCAGGCCACGGGGTCACCTGGCAGGTTCTTTGCTTCATCTGCTGCTGAGCGCCGTTGTGATGGCTCCTAGGAATGATCACTCCAAAGGAAGGAGATAGTTCCTTTGCTGGTTCCATTTAATAGCGGCTAGGAGCTGGGCTGGATGCTAGCATGCTTCTGTTTTGCAATATCCCAGGAAGGACTGCTGCAGAGAAAGCACTGCCGCTCATTGCATCAGCAGCCACATCTCCCTGAGCATCAGTTCCTACTGCTTTCTTCTCCACCTATCAATTCTTTCTTCCCCCCATTATCTTTTCCTCGAAATGACATTTGTAACACCAGATCCAGCCTAAGAGTGTATCTACTTTGGCTGAAATGGCTTCACCCAGTGCAGAATGGAAGTGTTAGGAACCCAAACAAAACACTGTGACCAGATTTAATGGTAATACGTCGTTTAGTGCCCTCTGAGTCCTGCTTTCTGCATAGGGTCACATACTGTATCCCTTATCCCCTCTGTCAGGTGTTGCTCAGGTGCTGAAGGATGCTGAAGGAAGATGGTTTAGGATTAAAGCTGACTTTACTGCTTGGGAAAGGTGAGGTGGAAAGCTATCTTCCAGTGGCAGCAATGGGGCCTCTCCATTCTGAGATGGGCATTAAAGCTCTGCCTCCTTCCAGAAGGATGGGTAGATTTTGCCATAACCTTCTACAGCAAATGTTTGCTTTCTAACCTCTCTTTTCTAGGTGCCAAGCTCCTGTTGTCCCACTCGCTAGGCAGTGGGGTGAGATGGAGACCCAAGCTTTCACCTTTATGGGGAGGCAGTGCTTGGTCCCAGGGAACCCTAATTTCAGTCTAACCAAGGCAATGCTCAACAGCCTGTCCCAATCCTCAGATGATGCTGCTTGCTTTTTGGTATTTTGGGTGCTGTTAATGCAAAAACCTGCTACCCTGTGTTGTCCTTCCAAGGATGGAGAATGGAGATATGCTTTGCACGGTGGCAGCCAAAGCCTTGCTGCATGCTTCTCCCCCTTGCTGTCCTCCCTGCCCTATGGGAGAGGCAGTGCTGAGTCAGGCTGTTTCTCCTCTTCCTGCTGATGTTCTTGATGCTCCTCCTTGGCCAGGTATTTAGTTCAGTTTGGAGCGGGCTTGCTCTCCAAAATCTTGCTTTGAGATTAGGCGCCAGCCTTCTTGTCTGCATGGCAAAACATGCTGAAAAAGGATGGGAGAAGAGAGGAGAGTGGAGAAGGCTCTGGAGGATGTGATGAAAGTTTCAGCCACCTCCAGGCAAACTGCTGTGTCCTCCTGCTCCCATAGTGGTATTCCCCGTCCTGCTCATCTCCTGATCCATTGGCATGCAGGAGTTACCATCCAGAGATGCCGAGCAGTCTGAGGATCTCCCATTGTGGGAACATCCGGAGCAAGGCAATGAATTCCTGGAGTTTGTAGTGTGGTTGTTTGGTAGGTTGAGGTTTGGGGGTGGAATGGGGTGACTTAAACCACAGAAAAGTCACTTGGGGATGCTTAAACCTCTGTGCAGACAAACCTGGAGTTCCCTTGGTGGATGGAGATTTATCCCAGCTGTTTGAAAAAGCACCTTGTAGGGTTACTGGCTCAATAAGTATATGCACAGAAGAATAATTCATTTATCAAAGCTCCCTAAGTAATTGCTGTTCATTAAGCGTGGGTAATGTATGAAGATTAAGCAGCGAATCAGCGCTTGCCTTGAGGAATCAGAGTGATTAGGGTTAAGCAAGGCAGGGACAGGGCTTTGGGGCTCAGGAGGTAATGAGTGGGTCAGCAGGACGCGTTTGGGCCACGCCGGGCACGCGAGGAGCGTCTGCAGTGGGAGCTGTGTGTGTTCAGCCCAATGACACATTGCAGGGGAATGGCTGATACTGCGGCCATGGGGCAGAGCAGCTGCGGTTCCTGGTTGAGGAGCTGGGGTTGGTCCACCAAGATAGGAAAAAAAAAAAGAAGGAAAAAGAGAAAGAAGAGAGACCCCAATTGCCTGTGTTACGTTTGGCTGCTGGGTCCCATCTGAGCTGCTTGGAGCCTGCAGAAGGCTCTGGACGTAGATTTGGGGCTGCAGGAGGCTCTGGAGGTAGATGTGGGGCTGCGGGAGGCTCTCGGGGTACATATGGGGCTGCAGTAGGCTCTTGGGGTACATGTGGGGCTGCAGGAGGCTCTGGAGGTAGATGTGGGGCTGCAGCAGGCTATGGGGTTAAATGTTGGGCTGCAGGAGGCTCTGGATGTGGGGCTGCAGGCCAACAGTGGAGCTGGGTTGGTGGTGGGGGGTTTTGATTCCCCTGGGAGATGGAGGTGAGGGGAAGTGCTGCAGCTGTGTCACACACACTGGGATGAGGCACTGAGTCTGGGGAGAGAATTACACCCCATAATGGGGCTTGGTAATGGCTGGGGCTGCTCTCCAGCCTTACCCAGCTCCTATCCTTCCCCCTCTATCCACCTGTCCAGTGTTACATTTCTATTCTCACCATCTCCTTTCACTCCTTTCTGTGCCTGCCCAGAGCTGTCCACATCCCCTTCCTCCTTCCAGCCCACTTCCCCCTTCATCTCCTCTCTGATTTCTGACTTTGTTGCAGGAGCAGAAGCTCTTGATGCCATCTAAATCGCTTCCCCCAGAAGAGACGTCACCTGCAAAGAATTTACAGAAGGGTTTGGAAGGCAGGATGGGACATGCCCCAGTTTGCTTCGCGCTCAGGAAGATTTCCAGCCCATCTGCTGCTCACGTAGCTTCCAGGAAATTTCAGGTATTGAAAAAAAAAAAAAAAAAAAGGACTAATTAAGTGGTGGTGACATCATTCATTTCTGCTCCGGTGCAGCAGCCTCTTCCCTTCCCACAGTGGTTGGGTGAAACTGTCTGTGCCCGGGGCTCTCCCCCAAGCAGCTGCATCCTGTCATCTCCAGCATAAAGGGGTTTGGTTTAATCTTAGAAACCGCTGCTTTTGCTATCAGGTGAAGTCTGTGAACCTGCTTGTCTCCTTGGCTCTGCACCCCAGCTTGTCCCACTGTCTTTCAGCCCACTCAGAAGCTGCACTGGGAGCCTGAAGGTTGCCTGGCTCTATGTAACCCCATCCTGTTATTTGCCAAATGTTTCTCTTTTCATTGTCCCTGCTTGTAAAAAGAACGTGAACGAGACACACAGTGCAAGGATTTACTGCTTAGTGTTTCTCAATCCACACTTGGGCAAGTGAGTTTGTTCCTTTTAAGCAGCACCCAGCATCCACCACTCTGATTACGATCTGGCTCTGTGCTCTTGTGTCACTTTTAATTAGGCATTTTGTTTTTGCATTGTGTGTCATTCTCACATGGTTTGCAGCATGAATGATGATGTATTGTGTTTCAGTTGGTACTGCGAGCCTTCAGCTGGTAATGAGGTTGTGAGGATATTTATGAGGCTGTGTACCTGTTTTGCAACATTTAGGTTCTGAGGCTAAAATACACAGGAATCTTTATTGGGAGGCAGAAGGCAGCTAAGGCATCAGGGTGATAGCTGGTTAGGTGGGCATCTGCATTGGGAATTGCAGAAACCTGCTGTTTTGCCCCAAAATGGGGATCAGTGGCTGTGATCAGAACAATCCCAGCCTGCTGCAGCTTCTCCCTTAAAATCAGCATTGCAGAAGTGAGCTCAGAAATTCAAAGCAAGCCAAAATACCCTGATGGCACTGAGGCAGGATGGCTTTGGGGACGCCTTGTTTCTCTGCAGGGGCTGTGGCTCCTGCTCCTTGTGTTGTCAGGTGGGAGCCTCAAGCTGGGATCAGAGCATGGCAGAAGGAGGGGATGGTGTCATGGCTGTTAGCACAGTCTGGGGCCACTCAGCTGTCAGGTCCCCAAAAGATCACAGTGGGAGCTCCTTATTTCCCTCCCCAGTGCCTCTTTCCCCCTCACTTGCAGCTGCTTTGGCAGAGGCCACATCAGGAAAAAGACGCCGTTTTACTTTTTGCCAGCCAAACTTGGTCTCTCACTTCCCACCTCACGTCACCAACACCTTTCTGGAAGCAGTGCACAGCAGGTGTTCAGCCTCACCACAGCTTTCCTCGAGGCACTTTGTCCTGCTGCACACTCCCTGCATGATGCAACCCTGCACTGCACGAGAGCTGCACAGCACAGCATGCTCAGCTGCAGCTCAGCGCTGCATTGCTGCAAGGGGCAGTCGCTGCAAGGCATGGCTTTGGTGCTGGGTTACCCCCTGGGCTTTCCTCTTAGCACTTCAGCATGCTGTCAGGAGCCGCCCGCTATCCTCAAACTCAGCAGGTTTGTAGCATGCATCCTGCACAGACCCAAGTGAGCACGGCCTCATCTTCAGGAGGACACATTCTTTAGGATGCACGTGCAGCAGCCTCGTGTTTCTGCACGTGTTTGCATTTGTCAGGACTGGGCTGGTGCTAAGCCCAGGAGGAAGCCTGTAATCCTGGTGAAATCTGGTACCCGATCTGATTCACCCCAAGTTTAATTCCTGAGGTTAAATTCTACCTGGCTGATTCATGCCTGGTGAACGCAGGAAGCTGGGAGCCTGGCTCTGCCTTGCACGGCCCCTAAGGTGTCTTTATATTGGCTGAAATTCTGCTCAACCCCTTTGCTGCAGCCGAGCGACCATGCAGCCTATGTGTCTGCAGGAGCAAAGCATCTTCAGCATCACTCCTAGGACATGCAGAATAATTCTTCCTTTTGCCCCATTTCAGCTCAGCAGCTCTCCTCCCTCGTGGCAATCATGTGCTGATGGTTGGGGATGGTTTGGGGTTTGCCAGGGGGTGTAGAGAGGAGGCCAGGTGGGTTTGGGTCTGGAGGAGCTCATTCTAAGCAGCAGCTCTGGATCTTTACAGTGCTGCTGGTCCTGATCTTCCCTCCCCTCCTACAGACCTCGTGTGAGACAGCGTGGGCACACAGGAGGTAATTCTGATCCTAATTACTATTGTCACCGCTGAATGCATTGATTACGGCGGCGCTGCACAACGCCCTGCCCCACCCTCTGCTGCCATCAGCACCAGGGCTGGGCTCTGTTGGGCCCAAGGCTGCTGGTCTTGCACTTTGCTCTTACTGGAAAACATCAGACCCGGCCACCAGCTGCAAAAGAACCAGAGGAAGGGAGGTTGGGGGGGTGCACCTTCCTTTTGGAGTTCATTGGGAAGCTGCCACGTGGGAGTGTTGGGTTAAAAGTGGAGGCTGGAGTGCCATTATGCAGGGGTTTTGATGTATGGGGGATAAACAGCAGGATAAATATATATAAATACCTCCCCAGCATGGCAGGTGGGAAGCACTGAGCCTAAATCCTAGGAATTTCTGTGCGTGCAATACTAGGAAAAAGCACTTAAAAGCACTCTGAGAGCTGAACTGGCTCCTCTGTAGGCAAAGGTTATCGTCTCATCTCCGCGATTACAGCCGTAATAAAACACTCATAACCAATTAATCATTTGAATGTTATTTACCTTTGTCTTTCAGCTTTGACTCATCCGTGGGGAGATCCTACCCCTCCCTTTCACCCAACTCCCTCCCCACCTTTGCCCACTGCTTTCTGCTTCTCTGCCTGCCTTTTACAAAACTGCTCTGATGTTCCAAAAATTGGGCTGCAAGCTCCTGCTATGCGCAGTGCTGCAGCTCCACATGGGAGATGTCCCCAGCACTCCTCCAGGAGCAGCTCCCTCCAGAAACCCGACTGCTGCAAACTGCCCTCTGTAGCAGCACGGTTGTCCCCGGATCTGATGGAGTTTTTGCAGTCTTGTGTCCCAGAGATTTAAGCAAGTGCTGATATGATAAGCGATGTGCTTAGGGAGCGGAGGGAGGTGGTGCAGCTCTGCCTCTCCCACGGACTTCCTGCCTGCAGGACGGCTTATCTGGAAAATACTGCACACAGATTTGTGTTGCTCTTCGTTATTTTTCTTCCGTAGGAGAGTTCGTTAGGCAACAGGTCTGTTTGGACAGCTTTGATTTTTGCGAAAGGTTTCGGAATTCATAACTGGGGCCAGAGGCTGCCGAGCCGCTTTGTTCCCTGCAGCCACGGGGGTGCAGATGGTTGTTTGTCTTGCGGCAGCTATTAAGACACCCAGTCGTTGTTCTTAATTATGTTGTGCCAAGGGCTGTACAAACAAGGGTTCATGAGGATGGCTGTCATGTTGGGTGCTCCGTGCTTTGGGAGTCCTTAATCCTTCCTGAACCCGGAGGTGGAGGATCGGTTGGTGTCAGCTGGCGTTGTGCCACTGGCTCTGCCCAAGCTGTGTCTGAAGCAGAATTTTGATATGGGCATTTCTTCTTGATGACTGTGCGTGATCACTCCTCTCCATCCCCGCTCCATTCACTTGGCTCCAGTTATGATGGCATTATCCTTTAACCTAGACATGAATCAGGCCCACAATTCCCGTAGTAATGCAGAGTGCCATTGCACTGCGTCGCCTGCTGTGAATGGCGTGCTTTGCTTTGCAATTGAGTCAATTCAAAGAGGAATACAGGGAGATCTCACACCACGTGCAATCTCATTGCCGCAGGCTGTGGTGGCAGGAATGGATTGACCCGAGGAACGGACCAACAGTGGGGAGAGAGGTCATAAGCAGCAGATAAATGTGCTGGGCAAGATGCAATTTGGGAAGGGCTAAGTGCTGATAGCTATAGGAGTATGGCTGGGAGGATGGCTGTAATTGCCCTGGGTTTGTGTGCAGCCCAGCCTGCGTTACTGGCTGAGATAGATGGACTCTAGTCTGCCCCAGCCCCGCTCTGTGCTGTGGGTGTATGCACAGAGCTCAGCTCAGCTCTACCATTGGGAAATGGAACAGACCCAGAGATGCAGTGGGCCAGGCTTGTAGCTCACATGTGATTTTCTGGGGACAAAATGTGGGTTTTCCATTCTCTCCTGAGGCATGCCACCTCCAGAAAGGCTGAGCCTGGCACTGCCAGGATGGAGAACTGCAGTGGTTTTGTTTGTTTGTTTTCCTTCAGGCTTCAGCTGCGTGAGAAGCTCTCAACTTTCATGTACAAAATTATCTGTGTAATTACGATTATACATAATTATAGCTATATTTATACTTATTCCTTCATGATTTCTTGTAATCATAAGATGTCATAATTTGGGGGAGAGGGGAAAAAAACAGCTTTAAGTGCATGTTAAGGAGGCTGGAGAGAGAAGAAAGTCCATAGCTCAAATGCTTGCATCATGTGTCAGGCACCGGGAGCTGGAGCTGCACTGCACTGTGTCCCCAGGACGGATCCCATGGGCTGGGTTTGCTTGTTTGTCCTGGAGCTCATGGCAACGCAGCTCCCATAGCAGCAGCTGCAGTGCTCCGGGTGCAATTGGGGCAGGAGGTACATAGGGCTGCATCGTGTGGAGCTGTGTCACTATGCTGAATGGATGAGAAATATCTGGGGGGAGGACTGCAGGGGTAACAGCTGTTTATGGTGGTCTGAGGTGATCCTGGAGATGGCGGTGGTGGGTTTGTGCTGTTATCATGCTGAGACCCCAGCATGAGAAAGAAATAGAGCTGTTGGAGTGGGGCCAGAGGAGGACATGAGGGATGCTCAGAGGCTACAGTGCCTCTGCGATAGGGACAGGCTGAGAGCTGGGGGTGACCCAGCCCTTGGGCTGCTGAGGGCCATGGAGGAGACCCTGGATAGCTGATGGAGGAGTGGGACCAGCCCAGGGCAGGAGGTGGAGCTGGAAGATCTTTGACATTCCTCTTGCTCCAGCCATGCTGTGGTTCTGTGTTTCTGTGATCTTGAAGGACCCTTCCAACTCAACCATCCTTTGTTTCTGTGATCTTGAAGGACCCTTCCAACCCAACCATCCTCTGGTTCTCTGATCCTGAAGGACTCTTCCAACCCAACCATCCTGTGTTTCTATGATCTTGAAGGGCCCTTCCAACCCAACATCCTCTGATTCTCTGATCTTTACGGACCCTTCCAACCCAACCATCCTATGTTTCTGTGATCCTGAAGGAACCTTCCAACCCAACCATCCTCTGGTTCTCTGATCTTTATGGACTCTTCCAGCCCTACCATTCCATCAGTCTGTGATTCTGTGATCTAGAAGCCTCTGTCTTTGAGTCACTGTGTTTCAGATAAAAGGAGGAACAGGGAAGTGTAACTCCTGCAGTGAAGGCAACAGCTTTTGGAAGCTGTGCTGTTAATGTGACGTTGGCTCTGCTCTGTGGCAGCTGGCTGTCACTGTGGGCAAGCAGGTGATCTTTCTGTTCCTGCTGGTCTTAAGATGACCCTGTCAACACTAAGTCTGCTCAGCTTTGTTTCAAGAAGGAGAGGCATAGCTGGGAGATGCAGTGTAGCAGAGGTGAGCCCCATTGTAGCAGCTTCCATTGCTGATGGAGACATGAAGCTTTTAGAGCCACTGGCTGTAAGAATGGTGAGCAAAATTTCCATGTGTAAAAACGGCATGAGTTCGTACTGCATCTGCACCTCACCATGAGCATTGGAACAGAGAGGCCACAGCAGGAATTCAAGGTTTCCAAAAAAGCCTCTGGATTCTGAGAGGTGTGATGGTTCAGGTTATCAACAGGAGACCAAATGAGTGTGAGTTAACATAACAGGAAGATCGTATGAAGCTCAAGGGAACCGCTTCAATTCTTCAGAAATGGGCAGTGGCAGAATATTAAAGACATGATTTCAGCAGCCTCGAGGTAGGCGTGGGGCCCTGAGTTACATCAGAAGGGTGATGAGCTGTACAGAGGTACCAACCTCTGGAACGTTGAATCCTTTGAACCAGCAGCCTTCTGGAAAAGCTGCTTTCCTGTCATTGAGATTCTGTGCTGCTGAGCTGTGTCATTGCTTTGAGCTTTATTGCCCCAGTGACAAGGAAAGTACAACTCAATAATCCTTCATGTGAATTAACCACTTTGTCTTGACGTGGCTGGTGTCTGTGTGTTCATACATCACACTGTAGATGTTCTCTTACTGCCCCCAAACCACAGGTGCTGCACGGGTTTCCTTTGGAGGTCTCTCAGTATTCATAGCAATAGCTGAGGAGCTGCAAATGTTTATTGCAGGAGCTCATCTAGAAGCCAGATTTTGGGAGGAGAGTGAGCAGTGATCGCAGCATGGGGATATCACCACCAGCATGGCAGCTCTATGGCTGCAAGCACCAGCATTGGCATTGCATTTGGGCATTGGTATAATGAATAACAGCCTGACAGTGTCATTCTCTGATGGTCCCATGAGTGCTGTGTCGTGCTCTTGCACAACTGCCCCCGCTTATCAGACCACCAAAACACTGCTCGTCGTCCGGATGCAAGCTGACTTATAAATGACTCACTGCTGAAGCACTTTGGAGCAGTAATTGCAAACTAGGACTGTGCTGTGCAAACACAAAATCTAAGGGCACTCCCAGCTCCAGAAAGCTTTCAAAGCAAACATTGCAGTCTAAACACACAGCAAGAGATAGCCCACGGATACCAACTGAGCGCGAGGAAACAGCAGACCCACGTTCTTAAAGTGGTTTTTCTCATCTGCAAAGATTTCTTCCTCTTCCATCAGGATGTGGCCATATTTGATGGGGCTCTCCTGTGTTTTCAGGGCTGGAGTTGAAAACTCGGCATATTTGATGTAGGATTTGTGGAAGGGTTTATCACCTGTGGCTCTTGTTGGCTCTGTGAGCGTCAGTGATAGAGTTGGTTGAGGTGGGTAGGGTTGGCTTGTTGTGACCCTGAGCAGAATGGTCACAGTGTCCAAGCACTCAGTTCCCTAAAGGGTGCTTAACCACTCCATATGGTGTCTTCTGTATCACCAGACCCCAATCCCATGGGGGTCATTCGTGTGGGTCGGAAATGATACAGAACAGTGTGTGGGAACTTGGGAAAGCCAACTCAACAGACTCATCTTCACCTACAATCAGTCGTGTTGCATGGTGGTAATTAATTACAATTAGAAAAATGGCTTTTTGTGGGTCTGGCCCTCAGTAGTACAAAGCAGGTGAAGTTCAGTTTTCTGGCTGCCTACCAGTTGTTTCCTATGAGGTTGCTAGGAAGAGGTTTGCCTTTATGACAGTTTATCTGGCAGAGGAGTTGTATTTTACCTGTCTGGATTGCTTTCTGGTTTGCATGCTGCCTTGTGCAAAAATCCCATCTGCTGATGCAGGGCGGTTGAGGCTGGAAAGCAACCTGATAAAATGCACAGTTAGAGCTTGCTTTGTTGCAGGTTATTCCTGCCAAAGCAGGGCTCTTAAGTGGCACTTTCAGCTCCAATTCCCTTCCTCTTACAACAGCCCAGAGGAGTTGCAGGAAAGCGGCCTCTCTGTGTGCTTGGAAGGACCTGAAGCCAAGTAACACAGCTGGAGACTTCTGCCTTGCAGGTGGGTGCACAGAGATGCAATGAACCCTGTCCTGTCTGCATCAGCCATCAGGTCAAGGCAGAGCTGGCTGTGTGGAACGTGGAAGTTTGCTTTGCACTCAGTGAATCTTATTTTTTGCTGCTGAAAGCTGAAGCAGATCTCATGGCACAGGGAGGGATCTCACCTCATCTGTCTCTGTCAGGCTCCGTTTCTCATTTTGAAAAGAGAATTTCCTTTTGGTAGCTGGGATATGCAGCCAGCTTGCATTCTTCCCATGAAGAAGGAAGCACATACTTGGAGAAGGCTGTGGCCAGAAATGGAGCCAGCACTATCTCAGTGCCCTGATGGGAGGAAGATCTGAGGGGTGACACATTCTGGCCCGACTGGAGGATTTATGACCTGGTAGTAAAGATGTGTATCCCTTTGAGGCGATTAAAAAAATGCAGAAAGCCCGTAAAACCATTTCTTGTGTCTCTGCCACTTCTGCGTGGGAGCCCTGGAGTTTAAGCAGGAATCTGTCCTGTTTCCTCCAGTCAGGCTGGACCAGGCTCTGAGCAGCCTGATGGAGCTGTAGGTTCCCTGTTCATTGCAGAGGAGTTGGAATAGATGACCTTTAAGGATCCCTTCCAAACGATCCTATGATTCCTTTTCAGTCTGCACTGACATGTTGAGTATATAAACCTGCAAGGTGCAACCTACCAAAAACACCTTTGTTTCAGAGCTAGCAGGGGAAGAATGGCAAAAATGCTGTGTCCAGGGACAGCTATGGCATCTCACATTCTTCTGCACAGAGCAGGTTGGCTGGGCAGTGTATGGTGTGAGCTGGCTTTGGTTCTTATCAAACTTGGCTGGACTGAAACTGAGTTGAGGCCCCTTATCTCCTCTCTGCTGCTGCACAGGGGGCTGCCTGCAATGCAGTGAGTTAGAAATCAATGCATATTCCCCCTCTTCTCATTTCAGCATCCCCTCATGCAAGCAGGGAGGAACAGAGAAGCTTCGAGGAAATGGGGACCAGCCCTGTCCTTCTGCATCTCTGCTCTGCTCGGAGGAGCCCAGTGCTTCACATCCCTCAGCTGTGCTGGTGGCAGGGACACGGGGAGCTGAGGAACAAAAGCTGTGAGCACGGCACTGGGCGCCAGGTGTGTCCTGTCCCCCTTCCCCGGCCCTTCCCTTCAGGTTCAGCAGGTTGACGGAGGGTGGGAGGGCTGCCAGGCACACCCAGATCTGCAGGCAGTAAAACGATCCCTCTTTTGCCCTCGAGCCAAGCCCAGCTCTCCTAATGGATAAAAGGGGAAGCGAGGTAGGAGAGCTCACTTGCTCCCTGTCCTGGTTTCCCAGCACAGCTGCCCTCACGTTTAAGGACAGGAGATACCGCAGGACCCGCAGCAGCCATGTCCCGCTCCGTCAGCTTCAGCTCTCGCTCCGTGGCCGTCCCAGGGGTCAGCCAGGTGCGGGTCAGCTCCATCTCCTCTGTCCGTGGAGGCAGTGGCCTTGGCAAGGCAGGGGGCTTTGGCAGCTCCAGCCTCTACAACCTGGGCTCTGCCAACAAGCGGATCTCCCTCGGAGGCAGCAGCTCCTACAGTGTTCGCTCTGGATACGGCATGGGGTTCGGTGGGGCCATTGCCCCCGGGGTGGGCATCCAGGAGGTCACTGTCAACCAGAGCCTCCTGACCCCCCTCAACCTGGAGATCGACCCCAACATCCAGCGGGTGCGCAAGGAGGAGAAGGAGCAGATCAAGACCCTCAACAACCGCTTTGCCTCCTTCATTGACAAGGTGAGGCTGGCTGCGCTGGGCTTGAATGCAGCCCTGACCTAAAGCTCACTTAATGGGGTGGGGGTCCGTGAATGGGAAAATCACCTACCTGATGTGATTTTCCTGCAGTCTAATAACTGTCATTAAATCTCTGCTGTCAGCAGAGGTTTTTGCTTTGCTTAGGACAGCTTTGCACCCCCTTTACTTAGCTAGCATTGCAGCCCCACACGCACCAGCAATTCAGGGGCAGGGGGCTCTTTGGAAAGGAGCTGACCCGGTAGAACAGACCTTTGATGTAAGTCAGGGCTTGCTGTGTTTGTTTGCACTACCCTGTACCTCTGCAGCTCTGTTATCTCCCACCAATGCACTGGGGACCCTGTGTTGTAAACCAGCTCCGGCATCCTCAAAATGTTAGGAATCCAGCTGTGGAGTTGGGTTTAATTGGCTGACACTGTGATCTCTGAATGGTTTCTCTTATGCGTCAGGCAAGCAGAATCTTCTTATCTTTAATTCAAACAAAGCCTCAATACTGCAAGGCAAACCCCAGAGCAGCCATGCTCCCTCTGGTCTTTATCACCCTTTAGAATGTAGGTGCTTTTCATCGACACAGTGAATCCTTCAGATGCCATCCACAGCCCACGCATCACCCAGCATCCAAGCTCTGCAGTGTCAGCTACCCCCCTTCCCCATCCTTTCACAAATGACCCTTTGGTTTCTCGGCAGGTCCGGTTCCTGGAGCAACAAAACAAAATGCTGGAGACCAAATGGAGTCTGCTCCAGGACCAGAAGACCACCCGGAGTAACATCGTCCCCATGTTTGAGGCATACATCACCAACCTGAGGAGGCAGCTGGATGGGTTGTTAAATGACAAAGGGCGTTTGGAGGGTGAACTGAGGAACATGCAGGATCTTGTTGAGGATTTCAAAGCCAAGTAATGTATAATCCAAGCGTCTAACGGTATAGCTGAAGTTAGATTGGTAGAGGCGTACCCAGCTTTTCTGCTAGGGAGGGTGATTTGTTTTCTGCTAGGTGTCTGCCCCAGGAAGTTGCCTGGGTTACGTGGTGCTCCTGGCACCTTGCTCCCACATGCTCCATCCCCATGGCTTTGCTTTGCAGCCTCCCCAGGGATCGATTCCTACTTTGGGTTGGACTGGGTCTGGGTCTGTAGGAGCCCCATAGGAGCTCTGCAGGTTGCAGGCAGTGGGTGAACTGCTTCTTGTTCCATGGGGAGGCAATGGAACAGATGAGTTGCATTATCTTATAGCAGTTTTTCTATCCGAATCACGTTACTTGTGAGGAGTGCCATCAAAGTAGCCTTTGTGCGCAGTGCAGCCCTACAGGGAAATGCCTGAAAGGAAAGAAAAGAGGAAACTGGCAAACTGGATCAAGCAGGGACTGAAAGCAAACATCTGATAATCCCCAAGGTGTGTTTAGGGAAAGTCAATAGCCAGCACTTCCCAACGAGGAGCATGGGAGTGATGTTCTCCCAGCCCTGCTCAGTTACTCTGTGCTCATCCACAGTTGCACTTTGTTTCTCTGCACGGCAGCAGCAGGGAACTGGTTTGCACCCAGAGGAGCTGTAGCCCTAATTTTAGCTGCATATTATATGAATACAAGGTGCACAGGTGCTTATTTATTCCTCCCACTGAGGGGTCCATGCTGGGGAGCAAAACCCTATATGGGGGGGGGGAAGCAGGAATTAGGAGCCTGAGATGCTGGCTTTGGTAACTGGAATTCAGAACCTGTTTCTCCCCTTTCGTATGAAGAAAATCTCATTTCCTGAGTCAAATACCTAGAACACGAGTAGCCCCTTATGTGCCTGTTGCCTCATTTTCATACACAGCCATTCCCCACCAATATCTCAGGTAGGGGAGGAGATTGATATGCACGAGGCTCCAGGAGATGCAATTCAGTCCCTTATTTGGTCACTGCCTTGACTCAGGGTGTGGTTCAAAATAAGCAAGGGTAGGAATGCTCTGGGTAGTGCTGCCCACGTGGCTCTGCGTGGGCTGTGCTGGGCTTTCCGTGAGAGTTATAGAGAGCACTGAATGATTTGTTGGTGCTGCACTGAGCAGCTCGGCAGAGCTTCCTCCTGCAAATAGAGCTCAACAAACCATTCTATAAAAAATGCAATCGGTGCTGGGTTTTATTTTGTTTGTACACCTCTCTGATTACCTCTGCTAGAGACCAGGCTCTGATTCCCTTTTATTATGCATATGGAGTACAGGTGCAGCGTCCGTGTTGTGCAGAGCTCTGCAATAGCAACAGATGCAGTTCATTGACCTCCAGAAGGACAACACCTGCTTATATCAGCATGGATGGGCAAGCTTCCAGTAAAAAGCACTAGGAGTATTACGTGAAGGCTTAAAACTGAACTAGCTCAAACTTTGGAAGGCAGATTGCAGTGCTAGCCGTGCAAGGACAGTGTCAATAGAACAGAGCTCTAACTTTGCCAGCAGCCATTCCAAAGCAGCTGGTTAAAGTGGTTCCTGCTCTATTTTTTAGATAAGAATTACAGGATCCACACAGCAGTTTCTTGCTGTTTGGGATCAGCAGGTTGGCTGTACACAGCTTTGAAAAGCAGACTCTGAGAGCCAGGTTTGCAGGTGGTAGAAAATCTGTGAGGCCAACCCATAAAGCCAATGCAGCATGATTTATGTCTGCTGAGAATTGAAGTCATTGCACCTCAAGTCAGACACTTAAAGGAAGGATGTGACCAATTTTAGAAGTCTGTGGGGCTTTAGAGCAGAGCCACTGTGTGCAGAATAGTTGCACTCAGGTGTGATTGGCACCTGCACAGTGTGCTCGGATGCCTGGAGAAAGGAAGTGCAGAGTGAGCAGAGCTTTAACAGCCCCTTGATCAGTGCTGATGAATGTTTGCATCTCTTCTGCATTTTTATTTATTTGTTCTCTCAGTGGCTGAGGGAAGGAGCTGAGAGCCTCAGGACACAGAGCACAGCCCTGCAGGCCAGCACTGGGCTGTGCATGAATGGGGATAAGGAGCAGAAAACTCCCTAAGTGCAATGGGAAAAAAGTGGGTGAGAAGTGCTTCCCAGCTCGGTGGTGGTGGCAGTGTGAACCAGAGCAGCTTTCAGGCATCAGTTTGTCCAAACAATAGCTTTCAAACGTGGCACCTTCAATGCAAAAAATGCAGTTTCCTCAGTGGTGCAGCAAACCTCTGCCTGTGACTGGCTTGCTTGGATAATCACAGGCTGGCAAAATGCTTCAGAAAGGGAGAAACGGGGAGAGAGAGGGCAGAATTGAGTAACTTTTCACTGAGACATTGCCTTCTTTTACCCAGGCTTTAACTGCTCCCTTCTCTCCTTGCAGATATGAAGATGAGATCAACAAGCGCACGACAGCAGAGAATGAGTTTGTGGTGCTCAAGAAGGTGCGAGCCTTGAATATTAGCTGGGTCTGATCAAACCTGGGTGCAGCCCTTCTCCCCCTTCTGCTCCTCCAATCCCTTTGCTGCTGTTCTGCTTGGATACCCAACTTTAGCTCTCATTTCTGCTTCTGTGTGAGCACCAGGATTGTTGTAGGAACAAGAAAGGAGGAGCAGCCCCTGTGCATCTCACACATTATGGCTGTATATTTCTTTGTTATCTTTTTTTGATTTTCCTGCCTTGACTCTTAAAATCTAAAAAGTCAGAGAGACCACAAGGCCCAGTTTCCATGGTTTGTGTGGTCCAAACTGTCATTGGCCGTGCAAACATAGGTGCAGGCACAGTCCTGGGATCACTGAGTTGAAATGGATGATCCTTATGGATTCCTTCCAACTCAAGGTATGCTATGAACCCTGCAGAACGTACAGGGACCAGCAGTGCAGTGCACCAGTGGATAACTTTTAGGGCTTGCTAGGGGGGGTTGAGGGTTTGAGCAGGTGATGTGGGGAACTTGCTGGGTGCACGGCTGTTTTTGAAGCCAGCAAAGTCTGGGTGGACTTGGTCACCAAAACTCCATCAACCTCACTGGATTGTTGCTCTTTTAGGATGTGGATGCTGCCTACATGAACAAAGTGGAGCTGGAGGCCAAGGTGGATGCGCTGACGGATGAGATTAACTTCCTGAGATCTCTCTACGAAGCGGTAAGGCCCTTCTGCTTCCTGTGGGTGCTGCAGTGCAGTACCACTATTGGTGCCTGAGAGCATCGCTATGCTGTTGCCAGAGATAAGAAAGGTAGTGGAGAGATCAAGTAAGCAAAACTGAGCTGCAAGTGAAGTACAAGTTCTGTGAGCTCTCACAGTAGTTTTTCCCTGTCCGGGATGTGAGTTGGTTTTGTTGCAAACGCAGCTAAGGCATGCTTTAGTCATTTTTGTAGTTAGTGTGAAAACAAGAAAAGCAATGCATTATACTCAGTGCTGAAGCACTGATGTGTTTTCGTGCTGTCTGAGAAAGAAAGAAAGGAAAGCTCCTTGCCCCAGAGTCATTTATCTTCAGCATCATTTACAAGATAAGAGACTGATGCAAGCATGCACATTGCACCCTTGTGTAAGATGGTGGAATTTGGCCCTTTGCTGAGGAGCTGATGCTCAAGCTTCTTAGACCAGCACTTCATGCCGAGGTCTTATCAGACAGGAGAGGAGTCAGCTAACCTTGCTCTTAACCTGGGAGTGATAAGAAATGGCTCCCTTTCTGCTGCTGCACTTTGCATGATCGATGTGACTCAGTTGGTTTCCTTTTAATTACTGATGCTTTCAAGGAACTTTTATCTGCTTCCCTTTTCTTCTCAGATTCTCTCTGTAATTGGCTTCTAAAAGAGAGGCCGTTATCAATGACTAATAGTATTGTATTTAATGCGACTGGCAGGAGCTTCGTGAGCTGCAGGCCCAGATCTCTGACACCTCTGTGGTGCTGTCCATGGATAACAGCAGAAACCTGGACCTGGACAGCATCATTGCGGAGGTCAAAGCACAGTATGAGGATATTGCCAACAGGAGCCGGGCAGAGGCTGAGTCCTGGTACCAGAGCAAGGTGAGTTATGGGAGAGAGAAGGGCAGTAATAACAGCTTCTATTATTCCATCTCTCCTACATATGAGGAGTGTGGAGAGGTTTCAGCCTGTGGTGGGCTGCTGGTCTGACTCCATCCTTCCTTGTGTCGCAGTTCGAAGCGCTGCAGGTCACTGCTGGGAAGCACGGGGATGATCTGCGCAACACCAAGAATGAAATCACAGAGATAAACCGTGTGATCCAGCGGCTGCAGGGCGAGATTGAAAACGCAAAGGCCCAGGTGAGGGGCTGCCCTTGTTCTCTTGCTGCAGAGCGGTGGGTTTAGCAGCAGCAGGTGGACCAGGGGACAAAGCTTAAGGCAGCATCTGTTAGAAGCAGTTTGGGATAGCTGCAGCCATCATCCTGGAAGACATCAGTTGTGCAGGAGGAGAAAAAAAGCACAGGTATGAGCAACATGGTGCTGAAAAGGAGCTGAGCTATAGAGTCCTGGGAGTGCAGAAGTGAGGAGATGCAGAGCCCTTTCCAAAGAGCAGCACTGAATGCGGCAGCCTGCTCAGCTGCACACTTCCTTGTGCCCTTTTGCTGCTGGGATCTTTGTCCACTCCCTTTTGTGCAGAAGGGAACACCGTGTTTGGGCACACAAAAGGATTTTTTAGCTGTACAGGAGTTCTGTTTGCTTTCTCCAGAGGCGGTTATCGCTTTATCAGTAGAGCTGGTGAGAGCCAGAACAGTGCATGGCTCAGACCATTTTGGGGCTGAAGGCTGGCTGTGAACAACCAGCAGTTCACAGGCTGGAGATAAGCCATTGTGATTCATCCATTCATGTTTATTTGGTTTCAGGGCAGGGATGTTTCCACATACATTTACAAGCAAAAAAGCTGACCCAGTGCAGCTCCCTGAATAATGAATGAGAGTATAAAACATATGTTCATTGTGAGACCTTCCTGCCAAAGATGAAGCTCTCTGGGTGTGCAAGGGACACTGGTGGGTGTGCATTAGGCTGCCAGCTTGATGTACCCCCATAGAGATGCTTTTTGGGGTATGTGTATGATTTGTTAACTGCAGGTCTGCTCCAGCCCATGCTTGCCTCACATCAAAGCTTGCTGGAGATCAACTGGCTGTGAATGAGCTCTGGGGCATAAAGAGAGAAACCCAGAGCTTGCATTAACCCTAAGTGTAGTGTTGTGTGCAGTGTGGGTGGGCTGAGAAACTGAGGGTCAACTGAAAGTCTTCTGAAAGTGTGTAATTGGTGCAGAGAAATAAGGTCTGATGAATTGCATTTCAGAATAACATGTCCTGGAATGAGGTGAGCTTCCTTCACAGGTGATCTCCTCTGGTGACCCAAAAAATGTGTAGGCATGAGTTTGTATGGCTTTGGAAGGAACTTTTTGAGCTCTGCAGAACCACAGATGGACTGGCCTGTAGATGCCAGAAGTCCATGGGTGGTGAGATGCCCTCTAACATGCTGTGCTTTGTCACTGCAGCGTGCCAAGCTGGAAGCTGCCATCGCTGAAGCTGAGGAACGTGGTGAGCTGGCTATCAAAGATGCCAGGACAAAGCTGGAGGAGCTGGAGGCTGCTCTGCAAAAGGCAAAGCAGGACATGGCCCGGCAGCTGCGTGAGTACCAGGAGCTGATGAACGTCAAGCTGGCCCTGGACATTGAGATTGCGACCTACAGGAAGCTGCTGGAGGGCGAGGAGAGCAGGTGGGTGCTGCCTGGGGAGTTTACGTGATGAAGGATCTAATCCTTTGTATCGTGGTGACATCATGAGGGCCCAGTTCCAATTTCTGGAAGGGAACACGGAAGAGAAAACTTTGCGTTTTAAACTGATTTTTGGTTCTGAATATGCTTTGGCCATAGAGCCAAACTGTCAAGCTCTGGGGAAGAGTGGATAGTTTGATGAAAACATACAAGGAGATAAGTGCTGGTTTCCGTTGTACATTTGAGGATGTGGAAGAAGATTTCCAAGTGACTTAAATCCTCATGGAATTAAGCCTCAGTTCCTTGTACTCTTTCAGCACCTCCCCTCCAGGTGATAACAGTGCTTGTAAATGTAGGGCCGGAACAAAGCGCTGGATGGCACACTTATCTTGTCTGAATTATTTACAGCAGCAGTAATAACTCTCTGCCATTGTCTTCATCCCCAGCACCGAGGCCCTGGGGGAACACTGAGTAATGCAGAGTCTAACCCATTCTCTTCCCTTTTGCCTTTGTGTTTTTCTGCTCCAACAGGTTGGCTGGCGATGGGGTTGGCAGCGTCAACATCTGTGAGTTGATTTTATTATTTATAATAGTTACTCTTATAGTTTCCATGGGAAATGCAGATGGGATCAACTGGGTCTGCATGCAGAAACCTTGTAGTGCCTTACCTTAATTAACCCCTTCTTAAATGAGAGCCCCCCAGGACAAAAGTTGATAGTGCTGTTGGCTCCATGGCAGATTTCAATTCTAACTCATCTGTACAAATGGGGGAATGAATGAATGAATCTGTGTGAGTGTTAAAATGGGGGAATATTGACTCCGCTTTGCCCTGTCCCCTTCCTCCCATTTTTATATGGAGAAAAGTGCACTAAAAAGAAAAGTTGAGAGAAAGATAAGTGCCTGCATTAGAAGCCAGCTCAAAGGTGATGTTAGAGGGTGTCTTTCCACCTTGGGAAGCACTGGTCACTTGCCTTACCTGGGTGCTGGACATAAGCAGGTGTCTTGGAGACACTGCTCTTAACCAGTGACTCTGCTTTTCATCCATTCATCTACTTACCATTGCTGCTGATGGCTGTGGGCATGCCTGGTGCACCACGAGATGAGCAGAATGTATTTCTGATACTGTGTTTATGGTACTGGGTTCCCCATTCTGCAGGAGGCCCTGAGCCACATTGAGTGATGGATGGGGGGTGTGTGCAGCACACAGTACACATCTGGTACATGCTCTGTGCCAAACTGGAGCGAGATATTTGTGTCCTGGGTGTTGTGTTTAGCAGGTGGTCTTAGGAAGCTCTCATCTGCTTGCTGAGATTTAAAAATGCCCTTTCTGAGAAGGGTGCCAGGCTGGGTTTTGCTGTTCCCCAATGCTTACGGTTGTTTTCCTTCTCTCTGCGCCGCAGCCATGGTCACCTCCAGCGGTGGTGGATCCAGTGGATTCCTGGGAGGAGGGGTCCGTGGAGGCCTTGCCCTGGGAGCAGGGATGGGCAGCGGAGCACTCGGCTTCTCCTCGGGGGGCTCCAGCAAATCCTACACCGTCACCACGACCTCATCCACCAGAAGCTTCAGGAAGTAAAGGCAGGAACGGAACCCAGCGGTACCCACGACACGGGAGGAGGGAAAACACAGAAAGAGAAGTTTGGTTGCCTTTCGTAGGACAAATTGGCTGCAAAATTTCTGCAGTGATGAATGAATTGGAATAAGATATACCAGAGTATATACTTGACCCTGCTGCGTCACACCTAAGGCTTGATCCTGTACTGTTGAACTCAGTGGGAGCCATCCCACTGAGAGCAGGGTCAAGCCTGTAGGGTGAAATTCCTCCGGGGAAGCAGGCAGGTTAATGCTTTTGTTACTTGTATGCTTGGTACCCCTGCTCAGGGCTGGCTTTCACCCTTTGAAGGGCAAAGCAATCATTGTGGCAAGCTTTTCCACATTTCTGCTGTGGTTTTACAAAAGAGACCAGAAGATTATCTCCCTCTGAATATGATTTGGAAGACTTCATTCCCTTGGGCTGCTCAGAAAGTGCCAGCCCTGATTGAGATTTCAGTCAGGGGTTGTTTTTTTTAAATATACCAGGAAGAAAATGGTGAAACTGCTTTGGGTTTCTCCTTATGTTCTTTAGAAATTGGCTCAGAAATGGAATTGGACAATTCTGGTCTGATGGAAGCTAATTTCTTACTGAAGGCAAGCAGACAGATCTCCTTTATAGGCTCTGTATAACAAAATAACTCACAAATTCACCCATTCTGTCTTCTTAACAGAAGCCCAAAGCCTAAAGGGTATGGAAATTGCTTAAAATTACAAGCAGCACACTGAAATGGGAGATAACACTCCCCATCCTTGGGTGCCTCTGTTTACTACCCTATGTTCTAGAGCATTACTAGTGATATCCAGGGTCTCTCCTACCATTGGGGAAAAAGCGTGTTTTGTTGATGCTTCATTACAATAACTCCTTGTTCCTGCCAAAATGAGTCTTCAACCTAAACACGTCGGGGAAATAGTTTGTTACTGCGGTAGGAAGAATTTTTAAATAAACAAGTCAAAGAAACTGCATGGAATTGTTGCATTGCGTGCTCTGCCGTGTCCTAACAGCGTATCTCTGGTTGATGTTTTATACCTTTGTGGTCTGGGAGTTTGCTATGAGGCCATTAATAAAGTTGCCCTGCTGTGTGCTTCTTCAGTCCCAGCTGAGTTCCTCGTGTGTTGCTGCTCAGGAGCCTGGAGAATCATCCCAGTCCTCACCTCCCTCCAGGCTGTGTCCCTTGGAGCAGTGCCACGCTGTGGTCAGGATGAGGATTTGGGGTTTGCTGCCTGCAGTCTCACCCGTGGGTGAATTTATTCCCATGCTTTGCATTGGGTTTGGGTAATGGGACTGGTTTTGTTCCCTCAGCTTGGCTCAGCCCAGCCCTCAGCTCAACTGGAACCACTTGGGACTGACCCCTCTCTGAGCACCATATGCTGAGCAGAGAGGAGCCAAACTTTGGGAGAAACACTTCGCTTGCAAGCACCCAAAGCTCAGCAAAATGAATCTGCACAAGGACAGCTCCTTGCTGCTCCTTTTGGGGCAGCACAGGTGAGCAATGTGTGCAGATGTAGGATGAGCCCCCGGTGCTAAAGGTGTCATTCCATGGGATGGAAATGGGGCCAGGCAGAAATTCCATAGTTAGTGAGAAAAGCTGTTTCCTGCAGCACCACGTTGGCTATGAGACCATTAAAGCCTGGGAGATGCTGTGCCTGTGGCAAACCCCACCCTGTCATCCCAGCACCCTGCATGAGTGCAGTGCTCAGGCTGGGTGTGTGGTTTTACAGCACACGTGGCACTAATGCAGGGAGGGGAGCTCCACGTGTGCCCAGCAGAGCTGTGCTATCAGCCTGGCACACCCAGCTCATCTCTTTCATGTCACAGCGGAGGGAGTGAAATGCAAAAAGAAATCCCCTGGAGTGAATGGAAACAAAGGGCTCAAAGAAAGGCCTTGCCCAGATGGTTTTTGGGCAGGGGAGGCCGCTGCTTGCTGTCATTTGCATGGCTCTGTGATGCCTAATTGGGAATGGAGGCTCTGTCTCTGATGATGAATTGTGTGCAGTGATGATCTGGGAACAGGGATGTGGAAGGTGTGGCTGCAGCTCTCCCACACTGCAGAACAATGCTCACTGCTGGGGAGATGGGGATCTGCACCCTTCAGGTGCTTCGTGTCTCTGTGAAGCCGTGGGGATGGATGCATCTCGTTCCTTAGGTCTGGTCTGGGGCTGGTTGGAATTTAACCTCTACTTATTAAATTAGTGCAAAGCCAGGTGTGTCCTGAGCCTTCTGTTGCATTCAGGAGCTGTAATTCAGGAACAGCTTTGCAGTGGGTGAGGTGTTTGCATTTCCAGAAGGAGACAGGTGTGACCCAGCTCCCACCGCAGCACCGAGAAGGAATTTTTTTTGGCCTCTTGTTTTGCAGCAGTGATTAAGATGGATAATGAGCATCTGAAATGTGCATCAGTCCTGAGCTAAGGGTGTTCCTGGGAGCTGAGAGCTGGGAACATGCTTAGTGCAAGTGCTGGAGTGGCCCCAGCAGCTGCTATGGGTCCTGGAGGAGCTGTGAACTGGGACTCAGAGGACACAGAGCACTGCAGGCTGTTGAGTTCTGCAAACAGAGGAGTCAAGGGGAAGATGGAGCCCAACAGGGAGCAAAAGAATTGCAGAGGGAATCCCTCCTGGATGGGTGAGTCCTCTGATCCACGGAGGGGCACTTCTTTGTTCACCCCCTGGAGAAGGGTGATACCAAGTTTCCCCTCCCAGCCTGCTGTCCCTGCCATTGTGATTAGGGCAGGGATACAACACAGGAGCACATCCATCTCTGCACATACCTGTGTGATTAATTACAGCTTCCCACAGTACAGCTCAAAGCTCTTTGCTGCTCTTAAAATCAGACATCAATGCCTCTGCCCCCATGCCAGCACATTAATGGCTGGACAGGATGCTCCATGCAAATGCCTTGCACATCTTAAAGACTTCCAGCTGATTTCATGGTCAGTAGGGTTTGCTTTTTCCCTACCAACTGGAATACAATAAAATCTGGCTGCCTTCTGAACATAAAAGCAGTGAAATGTTTTTTTTTTTTTCCTTCTTCCAGCATAGCTGGTGTCTGTGTAAGTGTATATCCAGGTATTTGCTGCAGCTCAGAGCACTTCAGCCTCTTCTTCCTGCTTTCTGTGGGATAAAATGCATAACATTTATGTGTATTTATAATATTTAGATATACTTTACAATGTAATTTTTCTGATTCTCTAAGCCAGTGCTACTTTGAGTGTTTCTGCTGCTCTGCTTGCTCTCAGCCCTTCTGTTTCTCCCCTCCTCTGGTGCTCTCTCTCCAGCAGCAGACACCAGGATGTGGCTGTGGATGTGTGTTGCAACAACAGGACTGAGAGCTCTGGAGATGCATGCTGTCCACAGGCAGCAGAGGGTTTTACAAAGGAGGTAAGTTCTGTTATTCTCTATAGGGAAACTGAGGCAGAAGAGCAGTGAGGACTTGGGGACAACAACGACTGGGAGGAAAGCTTTGGGTGCTGGGGCTTTCTGCAGCTCCCCTGCATTCAAGTTGCATTTGTTTTGTGTTTTCCATCAGTTTTTCAGCAGCTACAAAGGCCAAAATCCTGCTCTGGGCTTGACTGAGGTTGTCACCTTGTGTTTATTATGGGTTGGGCTGGGTCTGAGCTCTACCAGGCACAGAAGAGTGAGGTGGAAGCACATCTCTTGGGAAGATGGGGTGCACCAGGGGAGCCTAATTGACTTGATGAGGTTTGAAAGCCAACCTTCCATCTGGTGAAGAGGAAAAGAGGTTCTCCAGACTCTACTGGGGGAAGATGATGCTCTGTGCTCTGGTGCTGGAGTATAGTGTGGACTGAGAGCTGGTACCGGAGCAAAGAGAGGACAAATTGGCCCCAAACCACCCAGCAGCTCCTGCCATCAGGATGCAAATAGATCCTGGGCAAGCTGGGGCAGTCAGTGCTGTTCTCAGGGGATTTAGGCATTGATGGTGGTAATGAGAAGTTTCAGTTAGCTTTATGCAAACTGCGAGAGCATCTTTGCTTAGTCAGTGCCCTCTAAATGGTGTTTTGTTTTGGTTTCTTTTTTTTCCTGGGAGGAAAATTATTTGGAGCTCCACCCTGCCTTAATAAAGATGTGTAACCCCATGAGTTGGCTCCTGCTCCATGCATGCAAGAAGAGAGCTGTGCCTTGGAGAGAGGTTTGGTGCTTTGGAGGGAGGCTTGTAAGCTCCTTGCACGCAGAATGTTGGTAGATTGAGGGATATGGGAGACCACTGATGGGAGGGCTTTGTCAGGGGATATGGGGCTTGGACCTGCCTGTCAGACCCCTCTAAGTATTGACATTTGAGATCCTGGAGCAAAGACAAAACCAACCCTTCTTCTCCCCAAAAAGAAGCCACAGGGTAACTGAATTGCTATGTAGATTTATTGGAGATGCAAGACTATAACTGGGATAGAAGCCACTGACAAGCATTGCAGACAAAATGTGAAGTCATTAGAAATAAATCACTGCATCCTCTCCCCTTCCCAGACCTCAAATAGTATAAATGCATTTACACCAGCAGCTCAGCTTAATAGGTACTGGCAAATTGAAAAGGTGATTGATGCCGATGCCAGGTGTTTAAGGCTGGGTCTGGATCCCTTGAACACGACAGCAGAGGAGTTTTGTGACCTGTGGCCAGGCTTATTGGTGGATCAGCCCCTGTCACTTTTGACAGTGGGCTTAGACGCCAAGATCCTTTATTTAAGATGGTATTTATGGCATCAGATGAGCCGGACCATTACAAACCCTGAAGAAAAAGGGAAAGTTGAGGATTGGTTTCCAAACATGTAATGCAAATAAAAAGCAAACTGCCTCCAAACAGCAACAGCCGTTGAAATCCACCCCTTGGGATGTGAAGTCGGTATGTGCAGGGAAAGTAGGCAATTTTGGATGAGTTCTGCTGATGGCAGAGGTGTATCTGTAAATCAGGACAGCTGATATAACTAGGTTATAGTAATAGGTAATATATGGGAGCTGCTAACACAAGAGGGCTGAATGAAGCCTTAATTAGAAGCTCATGGGTGACAGCTGTTCTGTCCTACACCTCATCCTGATTCTTCAGTCTGTAGGAGCAGAAAAAACAAGGAATTACACCAAGGGCCTCTTATGTGAATTGCATATGAGAAGGGGATTGTGAAGGAGACTTGCGGTTTGCTCCTAGAATTCCCTAGCAGAAACAGCAAATCTCTTTGACAGAAATACCCCTCTCTGCCTTTTGTATCCCTTTGCATGGAAAATAGGTGTGCAATGTAGGGGAGCTGGGTGCATGTGCTCCTGCAGTGTGTAGGCAGAAGGGTGTGCATTGTGCTTCGTTTCCAGCCTTGCCATTCATCTGCAGCTCTTTACACAGTTGACTTGCCCATGGACACAACCTTCGTGTGGGTGCTCCCACTCCTAATGCATGAGCTTCCGTTGGCCAACCCAGCAAAACTGGGTTCTGGGCTGTAGGTGAGACCTCCTTGGGAATGGCAGACAGCTGTGGAAGGCAAAGCTGAGTTTCAGCTTAGGGAATTGCTGGGAGAAAAGGCAGGAGATGCCCAAGCTTGGAAGAAGTTTTATGCTCCAACTTACAGATGTTGACAGGGATGCTTCCTTCTGCACAGAGCCTGTAGAGGGAAGGTTGCACTTGGTTATGTGTGTTCACATGCAGAGCCCTGTGAGCCTCAAAAGTTTGCAGGCAGCAGGACAGCCTCTGTTTGCACTAGTGGAGGTGTGGTGGGACTGATAGGAAGAGCTGATCTGTGAGGTGGATTTACCACAGGGCAGCTCTGAAAAGCACCGCCCAGTTGGTTTTCCCATTCTGGCACATGGATCTGAATGGTCTTGTGTTGGTATCTGCCACCCACCTGCTCTCCTCACCCTCCAGCAGCTTTCTGTAGGTCGTGATCTCGATGTCCAGGGCCAGCTTGACGTTCATCAGCTCCTGGAACTCCCACAGCTGCCGGGCCAGGTCCTGCTTCCCCTTTTGCAGAGCCGCCTCCAGCTTGGTGAGTTTGCTCTTTGCATCCTTGATGGATGTTTCCTTGTGCTGCTCAGCATCAGCCACGGCCGTTTCCAGTTTGCAGCACTATAAAGATGTGGTTGGCCTTAAATATCTCTCGGTGTTTGTAAACATAACATGTTTGGAACAACAATTCAGTATCGCTCTGCCCTGATGGTTCCAGCAGACCTGGTGGTACTCACCTGCTCCTTGGCACTCCTGACTTCTCCACTCAGTTTCTTGACCATCCGTGTCAGCTCAGCCGCCTCTCTTTTCTTCTCTTGCAAACTATCAGCATTTCTGCCTGCAGTAACTCGCAGCTCCTCAAACTGCAAAAGCCCCAAAGACGTGGGTTGTGCGTCCCCAAAAGCACGTGCTTTGAGTTGGATCAGAGCAACTCTGGGTTTTCAGAGGAAAGATGTACCCACACCCTCCTTCTGGCTGCTTTTCTCACCTTGCCTTTACACCAGGCTTCAGTTTCTGCCCTGCTCCTGCAGGCAGTGTCCTCATAGTGAGCCTTGACATTGGCAACAATGCCATCCAGATCAGGATCCCGGCTGTTGTCCATCTGCACAACCACTGCCGTGTCTGAGATGTGAACCTGCAGCTGATGGCTCTCCTGGAGGTGACAATGAGATGCTGGCACTGCTGTGATCCCATCCAACACCACTCATACACTTCCTCCCCCCTTTGCAGTGAACACACGGGGCTGGATTGTTGGTCCCCCCATTCACCATAAGGGTTTACCACTGCCCCACATTACCCGTTCTTCCCCTGTCCTTCAAGATAGACCTTCCAGATCTGCCTGAGAAATGCAGAGCTGAAGCAACAGGGAGCTGCTTACCTCCTCATAGAGCACCCTAAGGAAGTCAAACTCTCCTTCCATCCTTCCCACCTTGGCCCCCAGCTCTGCTTTGTTTAAGAAAAAGCAGTCCACGTCCTGAAGTGACAGGGGGGAGAGAAGGAGGAAGCTGATTAGTGGAAGCTGATTAGTGAGAGCAGACTCGGGGCTGCCCTTGGGGTGGGGGACTTTGGGTGCAGGTAGCATGGCTGCAAGCCAGCTCCCGCTTGCACAACTGCTGCTGGTCTGAGTTCAAGCACACCTGAGTACCAGCTCCTGCTGGTACTTGTTCTGTGCAATGCTTTGGGGGAAAGAAATCACTGCCTGCATGCACCCCAAGGACCTGGACACAACAGGAAGGTTCAAATGGCCTTTGCTCACCTTCTTCAGGGCAATCAACTCCTTCTCAGTGCAGCTCCGTTGGCTGCATTCATCCTCATACCTGCATGGGAAAATGGGAGACTTCAAGCTCAGCACAATTACGTCTTTGTTTGGGATTCTGCAGGCTTACTTCAAGAAATGGAACCTCTCCTATTTTTCCCCCCCCCCTTTTACCCAGATGATATTTAGGGATGTTTTGTTCTGTTTCATAGCCCATGGAAAAACACACTTGCTTTGAGAGAGGTTTTGGTGCTCTTACAAATTTGCAGCGGAACTGTTCTGATTTGACTTCTGCACCAGAGAACAGAGGAACACTTGGAATTGCTGTAAGTGTTAATTCCTTGAGTTAGGAAAGAGTGAGAGAATCTAGAAGAGATGTGTCCTCTGTTTAGTCCACTTCCATAAACTGGGACATGGTTTTATGATCCTGTTCTCTGGGGACAATTTATTATATCAAAATGTTCTCACTTACATTTTCTTGTTGGTTTCCAAAGCCTCTTGGGCTGCTTTCAGGCGTGTTTCTAACTGGCCTCTGTTGCACCCCAGCGCTTCCAGCTGCTGCTTCAAGTTCCTGATACAAGCCTCCAACATGGGCACGATGGTGTTTCTGCAATATTTCTGACCCTGCAGAAATCTCCATTTGGTCTCCAGCACCTCGTTCTGCTGCTCCAGTAATCGCACCTGAATCCCAGAGAGCAAAATAGGAAATGAGATGAGGGTTAAGTGGTTGTGAGAGGTGATGTCCATGCAACAGCCATAAAATGCAGCTCTTGGTACGCCTGAATGAAATATTTCCTACTCCACTGTTCTTTTGTGCATATGGTTTTTGTGGGTAAGCCTTGTGGAAATGCATCAAACTCATAACACTTCTAGAAAAGAACACTTTGGTGCTCAACTGACCTTCTAAAGTTGTCCTCAGTGTCTAAAACAGAGCTGTATTACCCAGATTCCTCACCCTTTCCATGCTAGACCTCCCTGAGACTGGAGTTGGGGAGGGTTTCTCTGCTCACCTTCTCAATGAAAGAAGCAAATTTGTTGTTGAGGGTCTTGATCTGCTCCTTTTCTTGGTACTTCACGGTCTGCACGTTGGGGTCAAGCTCCAGTTGAAGTGGTTGTAGCAGTTTCTCATTGACAGTGATGGGTACGATGGTGCACAGCCCGGGGGATGCACCAACCCTGTAACCAAAGCCAGCACCTCTGCAGCCAAATCCAGCACCAGCAGCACCAAAACCATATCCACATCTTGTAGGAGGGCACCTTCCTACAGCTATTCTGGGCCTGGAGGATGCTACACCGCTGAGGCTCCTGGTGCTGAAGGAACCCAACCCACGTTGGCGACACAAGACTCTACCAAAGCTTTGCCCATTCCTGGGAAGAGCAAGAGAGGATGAGCTGAAATTGCCAACGCGAACAACATTGGTGCCATAGGAGCAGGACATGGCTGCTGGTGAGGAGGGCTGGGTGCAGGTGGTGTGCTGGGCCCCAGTGCAGTTCCCTCTGCCTCCAGTGCAGCACCTTCTTCCTTTTATTTGCGTAGAAAACGGGGCGAGGCTGCATGAAACTTCCACAAGATGTTTACGATGCAGAGTAGGAGCTGCTTAGCATACATTGCTCTCACCAATGGAGAAAGCAGATTTGTCCCATAACGCAATTGAAGACTGCTGTTAAGTCAGTGGGGTCATACTGAAGTCTTGTGTAATCACAGTGAAAATCGTGGCTTGTGCTGGTGCTCCTTGTTTTCAGGAATGTAAAAGATCTTGCCTTGCTATAGGTTGGATGAAGATGTCAAGTTTTCACTCACTGAAGTGCTTCCCTAGCTGATTCCCTTTGCTGCTACCTCAGCTTGTGAGTAAGAGCTCTGAGGGAGAATGTGGCTGGATATTAGGAATTATTTCTTCTCTGGAAGAGTGGTGATACATTGGCACAGGCTGCCCGGGGAGATGATGGGGTCACCATCCCTGGAAGGGGTTCAAGAACCATGGAGATGTGGCACTTGGGGACACGGTCAGTGGGCATGGTGTATGGGTTGGAGTTGGACTGGGAGATCTGGGAGGTCTTTTCCAACCTGAATGAGTCTGTGATACAACCAGATGTTCAATAAATAGCATCAGTAATGAAAGTGAATTCATTGAGAGTTAGCAAATAAAGCCTTGTGTGCAGGTTGGTGATAGATGACAGCTTTTTGTTGGCTTTGCCTATGGAAAGGCACCATCTTTTTGAATGCCTGGCAAACGTCATTGGGACCAGGTCTATTTGTCAAGGGTTTTTTTCTGTATATTACTGGCGAGAGTGTTTTCCATTATAACTTATTTTGTGGGATATTAGTTGAAACAGAGACCTACATTTGGACCATGGTGGCAGTTGTGGGTGTTCCAAATTGGCCAAATCCTCAGAAAAAAAATGATGTCTCCTTGTCCCTCAGCTCTAAGGCTCCTTCCTTGCCTGGGGCTCACTCCTTTGTCTCCCATGTTGGGTGAGTGCCATCACTGAGGCATCGGGGCTCCATTCCTCCCATCTTTGCTATTCACATGTGTGTGTGTCCTTGGCTTGGAGAGATGGGAACGGCGTTGGAGCCCGCGTCGCTGTGTGGGAGGGCAGCATGCTTTCTAGGGGCAGGGTGGAAGTTCCAAGCTAATGGCTGGGTTTTGTTTATTGCGTTTTCCCCCTTCCTTGTTCAGTGGTTGATTGCAAGCCCAAATTAGTAGCCTCACTGGACTCCTCGGCTCCAGGGCCCTCAAAGACTTTCCAGGGATGGTGCATGAGAGGATGGAGCAAATTTGGTGATTCCACAGTGTCCTTCATCCTCCTGTGCCAGGTCACCTTGCTCCAGTTTGGGCTCTGGCTGCATTTCATGGCTCTGTGAGTGCATCTCTTCCTTCCACATCCTCTAAATGCCATTTTTTCCCTTCATTTTGGGAAACACTTTCTCATGTTATTGAGGCAAGTAACACTGAATGCGACTGTACAGCACTTTTGGACAGAAATTTGAGGGGAAGGATTGTAAGAGGTGGGTGGCCATGCAGGGTGCCTGTCCCAAAAGGAGAGGGGTCCCTGAATGAAGCTTCAGGTCTTCTGGTTCAATGAGGCAAAGCAGCAGAGCATGATGTTGGACACCAAGAAAACCCACCAAGGTCTTTTGAGCTAGCTCAGTTAATCCAAATAGTGCCAATTGGCTTGAGCAGGATTGGAGTAGTATGCTTGGGTGAGTGGTGAAAATGGAAGAAGTGTGTGTGGGGGGTCAGACATGCAATGGACCTCCCTCCTTTTTTTTTTTTTTTTTTGGAGTATTTTGAGCTGCAGGAGGTTATAGAGGATGTACCTTTGATGTTGGAGTCCTTTCCTACTCACAGCACTGTGCAGTGGTACAAGCAGCATCTGGAGCAATGATGCTCTTGTCCCTCGGTGCCTCCTGTGGTTACACTTACAGAGGTGGTGGCTGTAAAAGGAGCTGATGGGCTTGGATGCATTGCTGATTCCCCCATGTAAACCTCTTGCAGGCTGGACCAGCACCCACAGAGCATTTTGCTCTCTACTCTGGATTATCAGCAAGTGCAAGAGTCGAGCAGCTGATGTGTATTTCATCAGTCTGTGGATGTCCCTGTTCATTGCGGGGGAGTTGGGCTGGATGGCCTTTAAAGGTCCCTTCCAGCTCAAATGGTTCTATGATTCTATGATCAAAACGACCTTAATTGCTCCCTTTCTCTCGTGGAGGAGTTGGAAATCCACAGCCTGGGAATTACCATTGGCACATTACTGTCCTTGAGTCATCCTTCCCTGGGCTTTGGTGTTTTCATGTTCTCCAGTTGTCTCTGAATCACCCAATTCAGCTCCCTAATTTTGGTTTTTTATGTTACGCAAGCTGTGTTTGCCAGCAGCTTCTCTCAGTTCCTCATACTCTGGAGAGAGAAAACGCAATGAAAATAAATACCAGATGTCAGTGATGAGAACTGCTGTGGGGTGCTGGGGTTGCAGCCCCCAGTCTCAAGCTATAAGGCTGAGATCTTTAACACTAGTGTCACAGCTGACTCATTTACACCATAGCAGCTACGTGTGTGAAGGTGTTAGCAGAGAATGTACCAAACAGCACGTGGCTGAGACAACACACCTTTAAAGAGCATCTTCAGCCTAACTTGGGAAATCTGAAGAAGCAAAAGTGGGGCATAAATTCCTTTGTGAATGTCCCTTCTTGTTGGAGGACTCTGTCAGCCCAGCAGTGTCCAGAAGCTTTGGACATCCAAAAGCTTTGGATGACAGCAGTGCTGCCACCCATGTCCAGGCTTTGGTTTCATACATTATTTGAAAAATCATACAGATTTGCCCACAGTGGGTGCCTGGATCCGAGTGATTCCCTGGGGGCAGCAGCAAGGTGAGCAATTGTCCATTTCTATGGCACTCTACCATCAAGTAGAAACAGATTCTTTAGGATCTTGCCCATGCAATGCAACAGTAGTGCCTTTGAAATGTGGAGGACTGGTCTGATGTATACACAGAACACCAAAAATCTTCCTGACCTTAAGTGATGGGCTGTAAGAGCTGAACTCTGTGGGCCTCCCTGAGAGGCATGGGTTGGAGGAAAAGTAAAAGAATTCATTATTCTGCTTATGGGCTCCTCTGGAGGCTGACTATGGGTGAGGGACTCCACCTTGGCTTCCAGCTCAGCTTTGCTCATGGAGACACTATCCATGTCCCCAAGCACATCAGAAGGGTTTATGCAATGAAGGAGCATTCTGCTTAATGCCACATGCAATGGGATTACAGCTCCCAGCGCTGCTCCTTTCAAGGACATGAGTTTTACTGTGTTATTAAATGGATTTCCTCTCTCATCCTCTTAGGCACAAGAGGAACGTTGCTGGGCAGAGCAGAGAAGGGTTTGACCAGCCTGGGTACACAAATGTCCCAAAGGGCCACATTGAGCTGCAACCGACTGACTGAAGGTGGGATTCAACTCCTTTAATTAAATCTTCCCTAAAGTTGGCCTGTAGGTCCCTCTAGAGTCTCTGGAGAGCGAGATGCATTCTCACCGCTGTCTCTCCAGCAATGTTCACTGTTGTTCCTACCAAGCACCAAAGAAGTGTTTGAGTAGGTATGAAATGCCCTCAGCTCTTGGAGCAGAACACACTCTTTCCCTGCACGCCTTTCCTCTCCTTGCCTTTGAGGAGAATTAAAAAACGTAATTTTGCTCCTCTTTATTCAACCTAGGCAAGAATTTGATCTCTTCCTCTTGCCTCGTCTCCAAATGCCCAATGCCAGCATGGACACAGCTGCCAACACAAATCGTACAGATGGACATCGCTGGTGGCATTGCATCTTGTGCAGCTCTGCCAATTTAAAATGAACCAGATCCATTCCAGCTCTAGCTTTGGAGCTTTTATTTTCAAACAAACTTCTTTTTTCTTGTATTTATCATGATACCTTGCATATTGCTCAGTTCTGTTGCCAGCTTGGCTCTTTCCTTTCCCAGAACATCCTGATGCCTCTTCCAGTTGGCAATAGAAGTTCCCAATGTTAGCTCAGCATTGCTGTTGTAACACTTCTGCTCCCACAGAAATCCCCATGTGGTCTCCAGCCCTTCCAGCAATTGGGCCTGAAATTCAAAGTGTAAAGATTTGTTACCAGTGATACAGAAGGGAACAGTTATAGCAAACTGAGAGATGAAATCAGTATTGTTCAGGGTAGTAGTGGGTGAATGGAGAAAGCAGACAGCCAAAATCTGTCAAGTGACATCTCCTCATGAGAAGGCTGTTCTGAAAAATGTCTCTGCTGTTATTATATGAAAAGCCCTAAGTCACTCATTATTGAGATGGGATAAAGCAGGGGTAATTCTGCTTCGGTTTAGGATTCAAGGGATGTAAAAATGAGGCTTAAAGAACCAACTTGTCTGCAGCAAAACTGGTTCCATCTCCATCCTGAACTTCTTGGGGCTTGATGGAGAGCTTGAGCTTGATGGGGATCTGGGCAATGGATATGCAGACCCCCTGGTGTCCATTGACCCCATAGCCAAAGCCAGTGCTTCCATAGCCCAACCCCATGCTGGAGGAGCCATGGCCATATCTCTGTATTGCCACCCATGCTCATGCTGCTGACAAACCCCAGCCCTGGGCACCCTCTGCCATGGCACAAGAATCAATGGTGGATCTCCTCCTGCTCTTAAGGATCCCAGCAGAGCAGGAGCTGAAACTCCTCCTGCTTCAGGTTGGCAAAGCCATCATGGCTGCCTTGAAGGGGAACGAAGGTGGAGGGAGGAGTAGGCAATGCATGTAAGATGGCCTTGTTGGAAACTCTGGAATGAGAAGCAGAGCTTTCACCCTTCTTTCTCCCAGAAAAAAAGGGCTTTTGCTACACAACCATCCCCAAATGATCATTTTAAACCACATCCATGAGCTTGGGGTATATGGTAATATCCCACTCATCTCCTTTCCTGAAGAGCAACTTGAGCTGCTTTTAAGCACGTATCTGACATTGGGTTCTGGGCTGTGTTTCTAATTTGAATGGGAGGGAATCCTTGGCCCCATAACAACTGCATTTGCAAACCTCCCTTTTTTATAGTGACCATGAAAGAGAGAAGCACAACCAATCATTTGATGTTTGCGGGGCACCGGGCTGTAGAAAGAAGCATTGTTTAATGTGTGCAAATAGAAGAATCCAAATTGAGCTCTTTTTTGCCTCTCTCCCTCTTCCATACAAAGGCTGGGGGGAGCTAAGAACAAAGGCACTGAACCAGGGATGATTTCCTTGTGTTTTTAACCCTGCTGATTTTACTGCCTCCAGTTTGACTGGTGGAGTTAGTTGTGCTTACAGCCAGGATTCACCCCCCATCCATCTCCCTGGAAACAGAGGATTTGGGGCTTCCTGCTGAAGCTAATGGAGAAAGAGATGTATCCTGTCCTAAAATGTCTTCATCCATCCTGCTGCTGAAGGTGGCAGAGGTGTCAGACCATGAACTCCCTCCCCAGAAGGGCAGAGCAGAGGGTGCTGTGCCCTTCTTTTCAGTTGCTCCTCACTCTCCTCTCTTGTTTTTCTGGTTCCACACCAACGATTTAAGCTCCTTACTTACTCAAATCCATTACGCAGTGCATCCCCTGGGGGTATGGTAGCAGACTCTGAGGCTTGACAGAAGTTTTTCCAAAGTGCATAGAGTGGATGAGAAGGAGCAGCTTCTCCTAAAGAGTTAATGAGCTGAGCTGAAACCTTCAGAGAGTTTCCACGGGGTGGAAATTACCTTCTGGCTTCCAGCAGTGCTGGAACCCAACCATCAGGAGCAAGGGTTGCTATTATTTTAGAGAGAGAAAGGAGCACTTAAGATCGCACTTAAAATTAATCCTTGTTTTTTTGGCAAATTTTTTCTCCTGGAAAGGAACCCACATCAGTAAGAAGTGATCAATGTGCTCCTAGTTTAAAAAAAAAGCAGTAGAAATAATAATAATGATAATAATAATAAAATGAAAGGCAGATGTCATGCAGAGCGCTGCTATTTATACAGCAGCTGAAGAATGCCAGGCCAGGTTAGTCCTTGCTGAGGTCTCACAGTTCTGGGTTGCCTTGTGTCTTAACCTCTTCCAGAAAGAAGACAGAATGGAGAAAATACTGGATGGGGTTCTTTCTTTCTGTTGTGTTGTTGTTGCTTACGTGATCTTGACATGTTTGCCTTGTGCATGGTCTGCACCATCCCACGTGGCCCTCAGCGTCAGTGATGGCTCATTGGTAGGGAAGTTTGGATAGGAGGAGCAGTGTGCAGTTGCAAAGAAATCTGGAGAAATAGTGCGTTCCTTATCCAGCCCTACTTACTAAGCTCCTGAACTCTTTATCAGGGATTCGGAAGTGAATGTCTGACATGGAGAGCATGTCCTGATCCTGCTCTGCAGATAATGACAACTATGCCAGGATGGATGAGTGAAATGAGCCTCACCTTGCTAATGAAGGAGGCAAATCTGCTAGTGAGGGCTTTGATCTGATCCTTCTTCTCCTAACACACTCACTGCACTGGGGCTGATCTGCAAGTTGATATTGACCAGGAGGTTTGGGTTGACCACGATCCCTTGAATACCACCGGGGCCACATCTTCTTCCAAACCCAAACCCTCCATCACTCACATCATGACTGCATCTTGACCTGTCAGAGCAGTGTCCTCTGCTCTTGGAAATCCTCTTGCTTGCTTCCCCTTGGGTGGGAAGGTTCCTGCTGCCAAATGCACTGCAGATGCATCCCACGCTTCCCCCATTGCTATGGGACATAGAGATGAAGCTGAAGATGCTTTGAGCAATGCGCACAGTGATGGAAACAGCATCAAACCCCTCAGTGGTCCTGACCTTTGGCTGGCTGACTTCAGTGTGGCTGCAGAGGGATGAGATGGCAGAGGGACAAAGATCTCCAGGTTTGGCTCTGGAGTGATCCCTGCCTTAAATCCTTCTGTGTTCTGGGCTTGTGCAAAGGACTGGGTGGTGAAATCATAGAATCATTAAGGCTGGAAAAGACCACTAAGATAATCAAGTCCAACCTTCGAGCCATCACCACTATGCCCACTAACCAATGCAGCTCAGTGCCACATGAAGTGTATCAGCTCTCAGTGCTGCACCTGGCCACATTTCCAGCCCATTAATCACCCAACTCTCTGGTGTACCATGTTGGCAACCTCCAGGCTCATAAAACTACCCAAACTTTCCAGCCTGTATTTTTCAGGCTACTGATATCTGCTGGGAAAATATGTATCTGTACCTCTGATCGTTCCCTTTAAGCTTGCTTTTAGCTTGGTGTCAGTGCCTGTTTAGTTCAAAGCAGATGGAACTGAAGCTGCCACAAAGGGGAGTGGTGAAGATGTTGAAAACACCAATTTGATGGCTTTGCTAAGGGAAACCTAGCGTTGCTCCCAGGAGTAACATGTGGACGAGGCAAGGGGCAGCTGGAGGAGCACACCATGGTGTGCTCCTGTACTTTGCAAGCATGACCTCTTGTGATAAAGGGGATAGTTTGGGAGGCACTTCTGCCTTTCTGCTTGCTACAGGAGAAGCCTGGCTACTTTGCTTGGCCATAATGCTGGATGCTGAGGTATCTACATTTAAAAAGCATGCTGGCTGTAGAAATGCAGCTATCAGGTGCCTTTTTGCTGCTGGATCATGTTTGCATGGCCTCCAGCAAGCCAAAATCTCTTCTGTGAGTGTCAGTGAAAATCATGTCCAGAGATGCGAAAGATGGAATGGCAGGCATTAGAGAATTGGCCATTTCCTTATGGTAAAGCACTGTTGTGCTCAGATCTGGAGGATTAATGAGAAACTGGGTTTTTATCACTTTCTCTAGGCCTGGAGTTGATCAGTGAGTCACGTTTGCCTCCAGCACTTTGCTTACCCAGCATAGCTGGGTCACGTTGGACATGGCTCTTCCCTAAAAGGATGTTTGGGGCTTTTGAGTTTTTGCAGTTTCTAATTATGGTGGTACCAATGACAGCATTTTATTAATCCCTGCAGCTATCACATGTACAGCATGGGCTGCACTTCTTGGGAAAACTGAATTATGTCCCTGTGTGAATCATCACATAAAAACCTGAAAAATTACAGGGGCTTGGGGGTGATCAAGCTGGCATGACACTGCTGAGATGCCACAACAGAAATTAGGATAGAAGGATGACATAAATTGGGATAGAGGGATGTTTTCTCTGGTGTATGGAGGCAAGAGTTAGAAATTTCCCTTTCCCTTGGAGGCTGATGCCAAAAAATCTTGCTGCAAAAATGGGAATGGGGCATCCCCACTCCTTGTTCCTTTTGAATGTAAGTGATGGCCACGGAAGGAGAGGTCTCAAATGTTATGTGTGTGACTTGGTCATGCTTGACCAATCTGGTGGCCTTTTATGATGGAGTGACGCCATCAGTGGATAAGGGAAAGGCGACCGATGTAATTTACCTGGACTTGAGCAAGGCCTTTGACATGGTCCCCAACAGGTCCTTATCTCCAAGTTGGAGGGATGTGGATTTAATGGGTGGACCAGTCGCAGACAGAGGGTGGTCATCAATGGCTCTACGTCCAGGTGGAGGCTGGTAACGGGTGGCATCCCCCAGGGGTCAGTCTTGGGACTGGTGCTCTTTAACATCTTTCTCAGTGACATCGATGGTAGAATCGAGTGCACCCTCAGCAAGTTTGCTGACGACACCAAGCTGAGCAGTGCAGTCAACACGGTTGAAGGAAGGGATGCCATTCAGAGGGACCTCGAGAGGCTGGAAAGGTGGGCGCGGGTGAACCTGATGAGGTTCAACACGGCCGAGTGCAAGGTTTGGCACTGGGGCCGGAGGAATGGCAGGCATCCTTACGGACTGGGAGCAGCGGGCCTTGAGAGCAGCCCTGCAGAAAAGGACCTGGGGGTCTTGATAGATGAAAAACTTCATATGAGCCAGCAGTGTGCCCTTGCGGCTTGGAAAGCAAATGGGATCCTGGGGTGGCCAGCAGGGACAGGGAGGTGATTGTCCCCCTCTGCTCTGCTCTCGTGAGGCCCCATCTGCAGCACTGCGTCCAGGGCTGGAGCCCCCAGGACAAGAAAGACAGGGAGCTGCTGGAGAGGGTCCAGAAGAGCCATGAAGATGAGCAGGGGGCTGTAGCACCTCCCTATGAAGACAGGCTGAGGGAGCTGGGCTTGTTCAGCCTGGAGAAAAGAAGGCTGCGAGGTGAATCACTGCAGCATTTCAATACCTAAAGGGAGCCTACAGAGGTGAAGGGAATCAACTCTTTGAAAGGGTAGATAACTACAGGATGAGGGGAGATGGTTTGAAGTTGAGGGAAGGGAGATTTAGGTTGAACATCAGGGGGAAATTCTTTACAGAGAGAGTGGTGAGGTACTGGAACTGCTGCCCAGAGAGGTTGTGGATGCTCCGTCCCTGGAAGTGTTCAAGGCCAGATTGGATGGGGCCCTGGGCAGCCTGGTCTAGCATTAAATGAGGAGGTTGGTGGCCCTGCATGTGGCAGGGGGTTGGAGATTCATGATCCTTGAGGTCCCTTCCAACCCCGGCCATTCTGTGATTCTGTGACTTGTATTCCCCTTCTGCTAAAGAGATGATAGTGCCACCATGGCTGTGTAAAGTCATTGAAATTAAAAGGAGAATGCAATGGAATGAATTTCATATGCCTTTTATTAGACAAACACTGCGAGGTGAGGCATCTAAGAACAAACAGGAGCAAGGCATTTGCATAAATAAGGGCAGACAGCTTGGAATTCCAAACTTTTTGCAAGTAACGGGGTGAGGACTGCACACAACATGAGGGACAGAGCGGCACGTGGCTGTTGGACCTCAGTAGCACCTCTTGGTCGAAGAGCTGCTGATGTACTGCATGCTGGAGCTGCTTCCACCGACCACACATGACCCAGCCATGCCTTGTCCGCTCCCAGAGCTGAAGCCCATTCCTCCAGCACAGAGCCCAGCTCCAGCCCCACTGCTGCCTCTGAAGCTCTGGCAGCTCCCACTTCCATATCCCGATCCTACACTGGTTCTGGTCACAGCTGCAAGAAAAGAACACACTCATCAGAGGCACCCACAAACAGATGGACAGAGTGGCTGGCAGACAGATGGAAAAGTCACAAAACTGTCTTTGGAAGGTACTTACAGATGTTCACTGCACCAGCACCTTCTCCAGAGAGCCTGGAATTGAGCAAAAGAAGACAGTAAGCATTTAAGGGGAGACCATGAACAAGCTGTGCGTGAAAAGCCAACAGAACACCAGTAAAATATTTCTGGGTGAAGATGCAGATCTTGCAGCTGCACTGCTTGGCTTCACTCACCTGCACTCCTCGCCCTCCAGCAGCTTCCTGTAGGTTGCAATCTCAATGTCCAGGGCCAGCTTGACGTTCATCAGCTCCTGGTACTCGCGCAGCTGCCGGGCCAGGTCTGCCTTTGCTTGCTGCAGGGCTGCCTCCAGCTCGGCCAGTTTGTCCCTGGCATCCTTCAGGGCCAGCTCCCCACGCTGCTCAGCATCTGCGATGGCTGTCTGCAAGCTGGCACACTGGGAAGGAAAAACAGAGGCTGAATTCCCCATCTAGAGCATAGAGCAGTTTGTTTCGCCCTACAGTCATGATGTGTGGCCATAGGTGCAGAAAGATTTGAATTAAAGAATTCACGATCCAGCAGAACATTGAGGTGCATTTATAGTTATTGGACTTGATTCTTTGCATTAGAATTGTACCTGTTTCTTCACGCTGTCAATCTCAGCCCGCAGCCGCTGGACGTGTCGGTTGAGCTCAGAAATCTCCTGCTTGGTGCTGCGGAGGTCATCCCCGTGCCTGCCTGCGGTAGCCTGCAGCTCTTCATACTGCCAGGGAGAGGGACAGAGGTCAGGGCAGAATCCAGCATTGTAGAGTGAAGCAGCATGTGAGTATCATATCATGGAACCATGGGATGTTTGGGTTGGAAGGGACCTTCATGATCATGGAACCATAGGATGGTTGGATTGGACAGGATAGTCCTAAAAGATCATAGAATCATAGGATGGTCGGGTTGGAAGAGTACATCAAGGTCATCAAACCATAGGATGGTTGAGTTGGAGGGGTCCTAAAAGATCATAGAACCATTGAATGGTTGGGTTGGAAGGCTCCTTGAAGATCATACAGAACCATCATGTCTTGGGTTGGAAGGGTCCTTAGATCTCCCCAAACCCCACCCCTACCCTGGGCTGCTCCCTCCCCTCCATCAGACCAGCCCCATCCATGGACTTGAGCACCTCCAGTCATGGGGCACCCACACATCTCAGGGCAGCAGTGCTAGGGTCTCACCATCTTTTGAGCAAAGAATTTCCTCCCCACATCTCACCTCACTTTTCCCCTTTTATCTTATACCCAATTCCCCTTGTCCTATCACTATCAGATATAGTATTTCAGCTCGGAGGTGTGTGTCTCTTTTCAATCCCAAACCAGCACTTAGAGCTTTATGGGTTTATTAAATCTAAAGGCATCCTCTGCTGTAAAAGTACCAGTAGAACCTACCCTTGGGGAGCTGGGGAAGGGAACATGGTTTACCCTTTGCAGAACCCATCCTGGGCACTCACCCTGGACTGGTACCAGGACTCAGCCTCCTCCCGGCTGCGCTTGGCAATGTCCTCATACTGTGCCTTCACCTCAGCAATGATGCTGTCCATGTCCAGCCTGCGGTTGTTGTCCATGGTCAGGATGACGGAGGTGTCAGAGATCTGGCTCTGCAGCTGAGACAGCTCCTGCCAAAGCAGTGGGGGTTGGGTGAGTCACTACAGGGCACATCTCTTGCTCCAGGCCCCAATGGAGGACAGAGTTGTGTTTGCAAAGTGATTTTTTTTTCCATGAATTTTCCAGGAAGGGTTACTACAGCAGGTGAAATGGAATAAGTGTGGAGGTACGTAGTGCAACAGAGTGGAAAATAATCCATCCCGAGCTACTGAGGTGGCAAAAGGAAGCAAAGGTGTTAGAAAATGGGCAGGACATGAAGGTCCTGGGAAGGTGCTTACAGCTTCATAGAGGGCTCTGAGGAAGTCTATCTCCTCCAGGAGGGCATCTCGCCTGGCTTGCAGCTCTGTCTTGGTCATATGGGTAGAATCCACCTCCTAGGGGGAAGAAGCACAGCACAGAAATGGAGCTGTTTCCAGAGGAGAAGCTGCAGTGTTTCTTGCAGCAGCTGTGCAGCATTGGGTTGCAGCATGCATGCACCCACCTTCTTCAGAATCACAAACTCATTCTCGGCAGCTGTGCGCTTGTTGATCTCCTCTTCATATCTGTGGGATGGAAATGGAGGGTTGCTATTGGTTTATGCAGAAGTTTTGTAAGTGTTTGTAGGACCTGGCTCAACTTTCTTTAGAGAAACAGCTTGGTACTTTGGTCTCCTATAGCCCTATAGCTTTCTGCCTCTGAGTTTCAGCCATGGGGTTGTGTGTGTCACATATGCAAACCTAACCCTGGGCATTTCTATCAGAAAAATGAGAATAATTTAAAAAGGCCTTTCTTCCTTGTCGAACTGCACAGGTGCAATGGAGCACTGCCCAGCCTACTCACCAAGCAGACCCCAAACAAAGACTTACTTGTTCTTGAAGTCCTCAGCCAGACTCTGCACCTTATTCAGCTCCCCACCCAGGTTCTCCTTATCAGCCAGCAAGTTGCTCAGCTGCCTCCTGAGGTTGTTGATGTAAGCCTCAAAGAGGGGCTCAATGTTGTTTCTGACTGTTTTGTGTCCCTGTTCTTGTAGAAGGGCCCACTTGGTCTCCAAGACTTTGTTTTCTTGCTCAAGGAACCGGACCTGGAAGGAGAAAGCAGCTATTTCAGAAGTAGTGACTTTAGGATGGTTTTCCATATCTCTGCTTCCCTACATCCCAAAGCACCATTTCCCCTCTGCTGTCCTCATCATGTGGGATGAAACCCTCAAACCAAACAACCCTCGGGTTTTATTCCCTGGCTGCTGCTGATAGAAATGGCTTTGCATCAAAAGCAGCACGGCTGGTACAGCTTGCCCTGATTTGTGCTTCTCCACTGAAGAATCAGCATGGCACAACCAAGAAATCTCATGGCTCACCTTGTCGATGAAGGAGGCAAATTTGTTGTTGAGGGTTTGGATCTGCTCCTTCTCCTCCTTACGGATGCTCTGGATGCTGGGGTCGATCTCCAGGTTGAGGGGCTTCAGAAGGCTCTGGTTGACGGAGACCTCCTGGATGCCCCCAGTGGGGACAGCGGGGAATCCAGGGCCACCCATGCCCCCACCAAACCCAAAAGCACCACCAAACCCACAGGAGATCCCAGTGCCAGCACCAAACCCTGCAGGTCCATAGAATCCACTGCCCCTTCCAGCCATAGAGATCCTCTTGCATCCACCAACGCTGTAGAGGCTTCTGCTCCCAAAACCTCCTCCAAATCCTCCGTACCCCACAGCAGTGCCACAGCTTCCACCTTGAGCCATGGAGCGTGAGATGAACCCGGTGCTGCAGGCACTTGGGATGAAGGCAGATGCAGCACTGAAGCCAGTCCGGCCCTGGTTCCTCACGGTGCACTGCCGAGACATCGCAGCCAACGGGAGAGATTGGAGGAGCAAAGCAGTGAGGATGAGGAGGAGTGAAGCGAGATGAGGTTGTGCTCCCTGGGCTGGGGTTGGCCCTTTTATTCCCTTACGAGCTGGGGGTGGGTTTGGTGTGCTGCTCACCAGACTGATTAATCAGGCTCGACACGCCTCGCCGCGATGCCGATCACCCGCAAAGTTGCAGCTGTTGCATTTTTTGGGACAGTCATGGTCTGGCTGTTGAAATATCTGTGAAAACACCAAAGGCTGCTCACAGCCACCCCTTCCCCACTCCTTTCTGCAGTGCATTGTCCGTGTTGGGAAAGCGCTCGCTCATCTCTATTTCATGGGTGAATCAGTCCCTCCCTTGCGTCAAAGCGCATTTTTTCACTTTGCAGCTCTCTGCAAAGGGTGGGAAATCCTTGATTGTGGATCTGTGTTTTCCTGCTGCTGAGGTTCTGAGTAAAGCCATCAGCATCAGCACCTCGGGCCTCAACTTGTTGGGTGTTCTGGGCTTTTCTTCTCATGCCCGAATGTGGCATTTAACATGAGATGATAGGAAAAAGGAAGAAAGAGGTGGTGGACAAAGCAACGTGGCAGTGGGCACTGATGGAAGTCTTGGACCATCAGCTATGGAAAACCATTTGGGGAATGGCAGGACATGGAAGTTGCTTAGTGAACAATACCTTCAGACCTTTTCTTTCCATGAAATGAGTCTGCAAATCATCCTGATTCAGACTGACAACAAATGATGAAATATTACGGCGTGAGCTGGGAGGGAGCTCCTGCTGGCAGTGACGGCACAGCCTGAGCTGGCGATTCCACACGGCTTCACCTCACAGATGTTGAGCCGTTCCCTAAATGATGGGTGACCCTGCCCTTACCCAGCCTGTTCCCAGACTCTCCTCCCCACATCTCTTCTCTTCCCCTTTCGATAAGTCTTAGTCACCAGGAAATTCAGTGCCGGGGATCTGCTTTTGTGGCATTGTTCTCAGCCAACTCCTTCCACTCCAATTCTTCAGAGTTCCCAGGAAATGCCAATAATGCACTTTTTCAACGCTGTCCTGACTAGCCCTCTGTGCCCTGCACTGTAGTACTGTGTGCGTGGAAACCTGTCCCGGAGGTGCTCCAAGGCCACTCCTGGTGTCTGCTCTCTGTGCCCAGCAATTTCCAGGGCCAGAAATAAGGCAAGTGCTTTTGGCCAGAATGTCCCCAGAGATGATTTGCAAATGCCCATTATCTCTGTTTTTCAGCCATACTCTTCCCTTCTGCTCTTCTTCTTCCCCCATTTCGCCTTTTTCTCCCCTTTCCACTTCTTTTTTTCCCCTTTTCCTCTTATTTTTCCCCATTTTCACTTTCTTTTTCTACCACTTCCCCTTCTTTCTTCTCCCTTTTACCTTTCTTCTTCCCTCTTCTCTCCTTCTTTCTCCCTTCCTTTCCCCATCTTTTTTCCTCTTTTTCCTCTTTTCTCTCCTTTTCCTCTTCTTTTCAACCTTTTCAACCTTCTTTCCCCTCTCTTCCCCTTCTTTTTCCTCCTTTTCATCTCCTTTCTCTTCTTTTCCCCTTCTTCCCCCCCCCACCCCCACTCCTTCTTTCCCCTGCTTTTTCCCTTCTCCTTTCCCCCTTCCTCTCCTCCCCTTTATCCCCCTCTGTTCTCTCCTTTCTCTCCTAGTATTTCCATCACACACCCTGCAAGAAAGATAAAATAACTGTCCTGGCAGTGTTTTGTCACCTGTGAGCTACAGCATGCAGCAGATTTCATGGCAGCTCATCACTCAAAGAAGAGCTTCAGTACCCAATCCTAAGGCACTGGTCTCGACTGTCTGCAGAACTCCATCACAGGCAACACTCGGTGATTTGGAGTCACAGTTTCCTCCACACATTGCAAATTCGAGTCTCTGGGCTGTGCCAGTGTTAATGATGTGCCAGTGTTAATCTCCTGTCTTGCAGGAGAGCATCCCCAGTTCATCTCTACACCCGTGTTTGTGCATGGAGAGCAGACCGTGCTCTGCAGCAGGACAGCTGCACGTTGTGTGATGAGAAACTTTGCTTCATTCTTGCTATCTTTTTAAAAAGCAATGCCCGGGGAGAAGGAATTCTGACCTCAGCCTTTCCCATGCTCGTTGAAGAGCTTTGTAATCTCACTGCTATGATCCAGGTGTGATGCAACCGCTGCTGTGCCCGTGGCTACGTGCGCTGCTGCGTCCTGGTGGCTGGGGGTTGCAACCCACAGCACTGGCTGGGATGCTGCATGGGGGATCTCAGGAGCCCTCAGCAGCGAGAGATGGGGGAGGAGGAGCACAGAGATGCAGCAGAGCTGTAACCCTGCTGGCAACTCACTGCAGAGAGATTCCCTGTGGGATGTGGAGAGGAGCAGAAGGAGTTCAGAGCATCCCCAGAAAAGCATGGGAAACTGCTAATTTTGAAGAAAAACCTAAATATATTCTGCCACTCAGGGGCCTTTTCTCCTCTGTGAACCCAACTCTTTTATTTTTTTATTTTCTCAAGAGTGTGGCTCTACCCATTTCCTGACCTTACGTACAAAGGCAATGGAGACTTTTTTGAAAATCCTCTATCTTTCCCACTTGTCTTCCAGCAACTGTCACTACTTTGGAGCTTTCAGCCAGATAATGCCCTGCTTTCACTTCTCAATTAATTTCTCCTGATTAGTCACAGAACCACATCTAAAACTGCTGCACCTCCCCTGATTCTCCTCCAGCTCCTCAAAACAAGATCTTGCATTCTAGGAACAAGAAGAAACAGTGGATGTTGGAGACTTGCTATTTCTGACAGGTTCTTGGATAACTTTTTATAGCTGTTGGATGGGAGACAGCTCCCTTCAACACAGCACATGGATGTGTGTGAATGGGTCTCTCCACCTCTTACAGTCTTCTAGAAAGGGAATACCCCAAGTTCATCTCTGAGCAGAAGGGGAGTGCTTCCAGGTGTCTGCTCTTACACTCACAGAATCATAATCAGTAAGGTTGGAAAAGACCTCTAGGTTCATCAAGTCCAACCATCAGTCCTTCCCCACCATGCACACTCACAGAATCAATGAGACAGGACAGGACCTCTGAGACCATCCAGTCCAACCCCAACCCATCCCACCATGCCCTCTAATATACCCTCAGTGCCACATCTCCATGGTTTTTGAACACCTCCATGGACAGTGACTCCAACAGCCTGTTCCTGTGCCTGACAGCTCTTCTAGAAGAGAAATTTCTCCTAAATCCAAGAACTGAGTTGAGACAGCAGGCAGTAAATTGAGTTTCGAGATGGGCTTATATCCTTGGACAGGTCGGGTGGTTGTGCTGACTCCCCTGCTAATTAGTTCCCTATTGTTCTAAGTTCATGCAGGTACATCACACGCCTGGCACAGCCCTTTGTGCCCCCTGGGAACTGTTGTGCTGGCTGCAGGCTGCACGCTAAATGAATCCCAGACCTTTTCCCCTATGCTTTACTCTTGCCTTGGCGTGCCCTACATTTTGCTTCCAGGGGTTTTCCTTGCTCAGTGGGGAGAAACAACGCATTGCAACCCATGGCACCCTCCCCTTGCTGCTGCACCATGCCTTTATTTGGCTGCTCATGAGGAGATTCAGGAGACATGAACAGGGAGCAAAGAACTGCACCTTGAACTGGGCAGGGCCCCATGAAAAGTGCTCGTTATCCGCATTTGCATTTGTTGTTCCATGCGTTTAATTAAAAGCTCCACGCAATAGAATAAATTACATATGCATTTTTATTAGACAAACACCAGAAAGTGAAGAGAGACAGTCATGGGACACATTTTATATACAAAATCTGGCTGGAAAAAAAAAATAACAAAACAACAAAAAACCAAAAAGCTGAGCGGTACTAAGCGAGCTGCAGATTTAAAACAGAGGGATTCCCGTTCCACGGCAGAGCCCTGCATGTGTGCAAGAGAGGAGGTTTCCAATGAGGCTCCTGCGCCACAGGACATCGGGTTCAGGTGGCTTCTGTTCTGCTTCCCCTGATTATGCTGTGGTGAAGGACCCGTGTCATGGTGTTCTCTGGCAAGGGAGGGAGAGCTTTAGCTCCTGTAACTTCTCCGGGAGGAGGAGGAGAAGAACTTCATGCTGGAGCTGCTGCCCCCACCCATGGCACTGCTCCCCCCAGGCCCACTGCAGCTGTAGTTGTTCCCCATGCTGCACATGCCACCCCCCATGCTGAGGTTGCTTCCTCCTCCGTATCCCGATCCCACAGTGGTTCTGGTCACGGCTGCAAAGAGATAGAAAAGTAATAAGGCATTGGCTTCTCAGTGCAGGGGCATAAAAATGCTCAGGTGAGGTAATTTTATAGATTTTAGAGACTTACAGATATTCACTGGGACACCGTCTCCAGCCAGCCTGTATGGGGAGAGAACAGCAATGTCAGAGGACATGGATACAGAAGACAGCAGGGGAAAATACATGGGCCATTTTATAAGACTCCTGTAAATATTTGGTATTGCCCATGGATGTTCCTCACAACATCAATCCATCCCCCGACCTCCCCCTGCCCCGGGGTACCCCAGTCAATGTGTGTACTTCATAAGGGAGCATCCCACCCGTGTTTTAAAATACCCTCCATCTCTTCCCTCGTTTTATACTGGTTCGTGCTCCAGCTCTATGAACCCAATGGAATGTGTTCATCTCCAGGGATGATCACACAGGGAAAAGTGATATTTGCTGATATTTCTGCAGGGATTCTGCACCCACCTGCACTCCTCGCCCTCCAGCAGCTTCCTGTAGGTTGCAATCTCAATGTCCAGGGCCAGCTTGACGTTCATCAGCTCCTGGTACTCGCGCAGCTGCCGGGCCAGGTCTGCCTTTGCCTGCTGCAGGGCATCCTCCAGCTCAGCCAGTTTTGCTTTGGCATCCTTCAGGGCAATCTCCCCACGCTCCTCAGCATCCGCAATGGCTGCTTTCAGATTTGCACACTAGGGGAGAGAAACTTTCGGTCACATTCCCCCACTTGGCTTGTTCCTTTTCTATCCTATAATCACAAGGTCTTATTCCAGCATCACCAATTTAACCAATTTTAGTGACTTTTCTGTTTTTGACAGAAGGAATGTCTAGCTAAGCAGAACTTGTCTCTGATATTTTCTCTCCTTTCTTCCAATCTGGGGGGTAAATTGGTTAAAAGTATGGATTTTCCTGCCCTGTACCTGTTTCTTCACGCTGTCAATCTCAGCCCGCAGCCGCTGGACGTGTCGGTTGAGCTCAGAAATCTCCTGCTTGGTGCTGCGGAGGTCATCCCCGTGCCTGCCTGCAGTAGCCTGCAGCTCTTCGTACTGCCAGGGAGAGGGACAGAGGTCAGGGCAGAATCCAGCATTGTAGAGTGAAGCAGCATGTGAGTATCATATCATGGAGCCATGAGATGTTTGGGTTGGAAGAAACCTTCATGATCATGGAACCATGGGATGGTTGGGTCAGTAGGGTCCTTCAAGGTCACAGAACCATGGGATGGTTGGGTTGGAAGGGTCCTTACAGCCCCCCCAGCCCCACTCCCTGCCCTGGGCTGGTCCCACTCCTCCATCAACTGCCCAGGGCCTCATCCAGCCTGGACCTGTTCACCTCCAGGGACAGGGCACCCACTGGTCTCTCTCCTGTTTCTAAGCTCCCTTTATGCATGCGAAGACTGCAGTGAGGTCTCTCTGAAGCCTTCCCATCTCCAGCTGAATTTCCCCACCTCCCTCATCCTTTCTCCATAGGAGAAGATTTTCCTGGAAGAGTCAGCCCTTCTCTATTCAAGACAAGACATGAAGACAGCAGCACGGAAAGCCCCATCTCCTTTACCTTGGTTTGGTACCAGGACTCAGCTTCAGCCCGGCTGCGGTTGGCGATGTCCTCGTACTGCGCCTTCACCTCTGCAATGATGCTGTCCAGGTCCAGGTTGCGGTTGTTGTCCATGGTCAGCACCACAGAGGTGTCGGAGATCTGGGTCTGCATCTGGGACAGCTCCTGCAATGGGAATGGGGTGAGCTTGCACTCGGTGGTGCCTCCTCATCCCTAAGGATGAGCGCGCCAAACTGGGAGAGGCTGCAGATCATTATCTGCACGGTTCTAAAGAGTGAAGATTTCAGCATCTCCCGAGGGGAGGAATTAAGGGCTGTTGGAGGGAGGTGGGTGATAGTACTCACAGCTTCGTAGAGGGCTCTCAGGAAATTGATTTCTTCGGTCAACGCATCTGCCTTGGCTTGTAGCTCAACCTTGTTCATGTAGGAAGCATCCACGTCCTGGAGGATGAGAGAAATGGGCAGTGAGTTTTAAAGTCTTGTTCACGGGGATGTGTGTATCTCTGCGGTACAGAGCAGGGAAGAAGTCATAAGGGCATCAAGAAGTACGGATGGGTTTGTGGATGGAGAGTGGATGGAGATCTGTAAAGAGCCATGAGCTGATGAGCCGCAATGCGCTCTCACCTTCTTAAGTGTCACAAACTCATTCTCTGCAATGGTGCGCCTGTTGATTTCATCTTCGTACCTAATGGAGGAGGAAGAGGGAGCACTGTTTAGGCAGGTAGCAGACGGAGGTGATTTTATTTTGCTGGAATGAACTTCCTTAATAGCAGTTTGCATACAATGTTCTTTTCTCCTACGTTGCATCTGAATAAGAGACCATGAGCGATTTCCTAGGCTGAACTAGTTAAAACAAGTACATTAAGAAAAAAAAGAAGTGAAAGCATCTCTGCTATTCCTTTTCTCCTCTTTCTGGCCGTTACTCATTCCCCTTCAGCCTCTCTTAAGCAAATTAAGCATGCTGCCTCAAAACTTTCAAACCTACCGTGTAATTTTTTCTCAGTGCTAGGTAATTTAGTTAATAAGCCTTTGATCACATTCTAAATTATTCCCTGAATATTTGTGCATTTGGATCTGTTGCTCCGTTACCATTTATCTTGAGAAAGTGGCACAGCCTTCGCTGTCAGGAATTCCTTCACTGTTGGGATTCCCATGTCCCAGTGCTGGAGGACTCACCTGGACCCCCAGATGGCAGTAGGATGGAGGGAGCTGCACCCATCAGGTGGGCAGAGTAACTCCCATGAACTTACTTCTTCTTGAAGTCCTCAACCAGGTACTGTGTGTTGACGAGCTCTCCCTCCAGCCTCCCCTTGTCGCTCAGCAGGCTGTTCAGCTGCATCCTCAGGTTGTTGATGTACGTCTCAAAAAGTGGCTCCAGGTTGTTCCGGACCGTTTTCATCCCCTGCTCCTGCAGCAGGCTCCACTTTGTTTCCAGCACTTTGTTTTGTTGCTCGAGGAATCGGACCTGCAAGAAGAAATATGCTGAAGATGTTTGGAAAGGGCAGAGATTGGGGTGAACTTCCTTTGCACTTGTGGGGTCCTAGGACTAGAGAGGGGGTGCAGTACCCTTTCCAGCTGGTTTTCACAGATAAATTTACCTCTGATAGAAGCAGGAATTTGCTATTTGATTGCCATTTCCCTGCTCAGTGTTGCAAACAAACTAATTTCCTTTCCTCTTCTTTCCTTTGAATAAGTGTGCAAGATGCAAACAGCATGTTGAAAATCAAATGAGGAGTAAGGATTGGAACTCCTATTAAGAAAAGTGCTAGTTCCCCCCCTCTCAGCATTGCTCCTCCACTTTGAAAAACCTCTGAAATAATGCAGAATAATGCAGCGTTCTGCTTGGAAGCAAGAGGAGCTGCTCAACCAGGAGAGAAATCAAGCAGGTGCTCTTGTGCATCTAATATGCTTAACGAGGAAATGAAGTGGACAGAAAGTGTCAGATCAGATTTTGCTATTTTGAGCAGTCCCAACTTGCTGGTACTGTTTCATTTTGAGCTTTAAATGCCTTTGAGGAAAATTCAAGCACTGAGAGGCTTATATCTTCCTTTGTGCACTTCTTTTTCTAGTCATTTCAGGATTGCTTGCATCTCACTTTAACCACCCAACACCTGTTATCCTGCAGTGCTCAATGGAGAGACCCCAACACCTGCAGAAGGGTGGAATTGCCTCTGAGAGTTTTCTCTCTCCATTTGCCTAGCAGCAAATGAGAACCTCAGATGCTGGGTGATGCACTCATAGCAACCACTGTGCAGCAGGTACCGCTGCCTGGAGTTCCAGGGACAGAGGCATCTTCCAGTCCCATTCCTGATCACCGTTCCTTCTTGCTCAGCTCATGTGCTCATCATGCAATAAGAATCCCCATCAAAACATGAGGGCAGGGAAGCTCATGGCTCACCTTATCAATGAAGGAGGCAAATTTGTTGTTGAGGGTTTTGATCTGCTCCTTCTCCTCCTTTCGGATCCTCTGGATGCTGGGGTCGATCTCCAGGTTGAGGGGCTTCAGAAGGCTCTGATTGATGGAGACCTCCTGGATGCCACCAGCAGGGAACCCAGGGCCTCCAAATGCCCCATATCCATAGCCCAGCATGCTCCCAGCACCTCCACCAAACCCTGCGGGGCCGTAGAAGCCCCCACCCCTTCCAGCTGCAGAGATCCTCTTGCATCCACCGAAATTGTAGAGGCTTCTGCTTCCAAAGCCACCTCCAACCCTTGCAAAGCCACTGCCAGCATTGCAGCCCCCAACACGGGTGACGGAGCGTGAGCTGAAGCTGGTGCGGCACGTGCCGGGCACGATGGCCGACGCAGCGCTGAAGCCACTTCTCCCCCTCTGGATCCTGACGGTGGATTGGCGAGACATGGCTGGTTTGGGATGGGGTGGATGCTAAGGCACGAGGGAAGCAGTAGAGGTGCTGGCCTGGAGCAAGGAGTGGGAGGGAAAGTAGAAAGATGAACCTGTGCTCCGCACGGGCTCGGGAGAGCCCTTTTATGCATTTATGAGACTGGGATGGGTTTGATGAGGTGGATCGTCTTTCTGATTAATTAGGCTTGGCATGTCCAACAGCATTCTGGAGAGAGAACTCACTCCGCACACACGCCCTTCTGAAATAATACAGCCAAGTTCTGAGCAACAGTGGTATTGTTTGGGAATAACTGTCGCCTTCTGCTGCCTTTGTAGACGGGCAGGCTCCGCACCATATCAAAGAGTTTGGGAGCTGCAATGAATCAGCCTGGTCACGGGAGGGAAACACCGTTTAGAACGGCTGTCACTCAGCTCTTGGGACCTTCAGTCCATGGGACTGCTCTGCTCAGCCCATCTCTGTGAATGGGGCTTTAAGAAGTTGCAGTCCCTGGTGTTTTAGGGAACGTGTTGGCAGGGCAGTGTTGTGCAGTGCTGTAGAACATTGCACGTTGCTTTATCCTGGGATTTTGTGGTATCACGGAATTGCAAAACCCTTGGGTGGCTTGGGTTGGAAGGGTCCTTCAAGATCACAGAATCATGGAATCACAGTGTGGCTGGGGTAAGAAGGGAACTTCAAAGCCCCCCCATCCCCACTGCTTGCCTTTGGGCTGATCCCATTCCTCCATCAGCTTCCCAGGGTCCATTTATGGCCTCAAGCACACATAAATGCCCCATTTCTCTGGGCAGTAATGTTAGGGCCTCACCACACTCTGGGTGAAGAATCTCCCTCTCACATCTGACCCAGATCTCCCCTCTTTTAGTTTGAAATAAGCCACGTGGTCCCCTTCTGCAGTACATCTACACAAATATTTCCACTTTATCTCTATATAGGCTCAGTTTCTTGAGCTGGTGTCTTCTGAAAATCCTGCTGCAGTGGACATACCTTTCTGTGACTCTTAAAAATAATATATATATATTTAGAGAGAGAGAGAGAGAGAGAGAGAGGAAGGAATGAAAATGGAACATTCTGTCAGTTCACACCTGGACTTTACAGCCCTATTCACAGCTGCCATTGAGTTCTGTCTCTGCTTTGCTGTTCCCCCAGCTTCCAGGCTTTCAAATTTGGCATTTAGGAGGATGGAAACTAAAACAATGAAAAAAAAAAAGACAAAAAAAAAAAAACAAAACCCAAGGAGGAGGAAGGACTGTGGGAATGGAGCTGCTCTGAATCCACTGGCTCTATGGAAATAGAGTGCTCCAGGGCTGCTCCCAGCTCCCTGTCTATAAACATGATGTCATTTCCCAAAGATTTAATCAGCTCTCTCTGCTCATCTGAAAGAGGGATCCCATCAACCTGAATCCATGAGAAAAGTTCTCCACAGGATCTCTTGCCCAAATCCTCAGCAATCTGGGCACAAAGATACCTGGTCCTGTCCTTTCCCATCCATGTGTGCCAGTGCAAACGTTTGCTTTGCATGAGCATCACAAGCAGTTCAAGTAACGAGTCAAACAGAAAACGTGAAAAAGCCTCAATTTTGAGGGGTGGGAAGAGCATCTGGCCCTCTCTGTTTCAGGTAAGTCTGGAAAAGATGACTCATATGTAATTACACAAGAGGGTGACTTTGCAAAAGCATCCCCCCTAACAGCTTCATCTTGTGTTTCGGGAGCAGCAATCCTTTGTTTATTTTGGTAGCTGTTCCTTCAGCTCCTTCAATGAAAGGCTGAGCCCTCATTGTGATGCTGCAGCTTCCACACTACAACAGTCCCAGTGGGGCTATTCACCAGGTGTGCACATTTGCACACCCAAAGCCCCGTGATGCTTTGGGCATTGCTCCCTGGGGTGCCCTCCATCCCTTGTGGCTTCACCTGAAAGCTTTTCCCCGTTGCTGTGCAGCTCAGGAGGGCATCAGCACCAAAGGGATTCCCCATCCTTTGCACTGCTGCAGCACCACAGAGCTGACTCAGGGTGTGCAGAGCCTGAATCCCACCCTTGGTTACCAACAAGTGTGATGAGTCAGTGCTTTCCTTTCCCCCCTCAGGCTCCATTTTACATATGAAACTCGTCTTTTTTAGCCAAAGAATACGCCAACCGCGTTGGAGTCCACTGTTAATAATAGTAATAATACAGCTCCTCCAACCAAATAAAAAGAAATTAATTTCTTTCCATTTCACATTTGCACTAGGGTGGAGGTGATGTGGTTGTCACTCATCTGGAAGGAATTTGAGAGGTAATTACAAAAGGCAGAACTGGGAGCACCAGGAGCTGCAGCTACAGGTCTGGGGTATGGGTGATGGCAGAGGGCCCCCACCCTGCCCTGTTGATGAAACACTGGGTTTCCAGGTAGCTCCTGGGGGAGTGTCTCCCCTGTGCCCTGCAGCTCCAGGCATGTGGTAGAATTTGCTGCTCCAATGCAGATAGCTCACCCTGATACAGACTTCTCCTCTGGCAGAGTGTAACACTGGAGCTGCTCTGCTTTTTCCTCCTGATCAGACCACGGAGCTGTGCTGGAGCTGAGAGCCCTGTGATGCAGCTCTGGAGCCTTTTACACCCCCCTCCCTTCCTCCTTTTCTCCTCCAGGGGTAGGTGGGAGATCCCTGGGGTGCAGCCTGGTATCACCCTAAGATTGAGGTAATACAGTCCTTTGAGGGTAGAAAAGTGAATTCTGACTGCATCAGGGCAATAACTACAACTCGGGTCCCTGTAGTGGGAAATTTGAGCTGTTTCCCAGCCAGAGAGAAAGAAGACAGCTTCAACAACTTGCCACCAACACCTGCCCTTCTCCAGCATCCACCATGAGACGCTTCCACGGATGCATCCACCATGGGAGCCTTCGTTTCGTGATGGATGTCTGTTCTCAGGCAAGGTTGTAACCTTTTAGCTGTGGCTTCGTGTGATTTCTTTGCAAAAACAGACATTTATAAAATAAGAGCGTGTCCTATTGACTCGTGTTGGTTCACTACCTAATCTCAGTTTAATTATCAGTAAAGTCAAGGCTATAATTTACGTTAATTGCTTAAATTAAAGCCTTTGGGTTAAACTTGGGCTGCTAACCTAAATTCAAACCCTGCTCATTTTGGCTGTAATTTACCATATCATCACAAGTCAACACAGTCCCAATGGTCACCCTGAGCTTTTTCCACACTGCACCCCATGGTCACTGCATGGCATGGCAGAGACCTCCAGGAGCAGAGGGGGAGCTGGGATTCACATCCCTGAATCTTATTTCCCCAAGGAATGAATTGGGATGAGCTGCTCCGGAGCGTTCCCATAGGTGTTGCCCCGTGCTGGGTGTTGCAGTCCTTTGAGCCTGTTCCCAGCAGTATCTGGAGGCCAGTCAGCTGGAAGTAGTGCAGGACTTTGAAGTGTAGGTGTGACCAGCTTTCTCCAGATAATTGGTTTTTGTGTTAGTGCAGAGACACTGGTTCAGCTCAGGGTTTTAGAGTAACTTTGCTTTTATTATTGCTGTTGTTGCAGATTGGGGAAGTCTCGTTTCAGCCCATGGCTTGTTGCATCCCAAAAGAACCTGTAACTTTGGTGGGTATATATTCTTATCCTGCTCTGCATTCAGCACAGCTGCTTGCATGGAGGTACCCAAATTATATATAATAAATAATACCCAAATAAATAATCCTAAATACCCCAAAAATGTTCTGTAGCACCTTCCAAGCTCCTTTAATCCCTGGATAGGGCTCTGTGACCCTTCTAACCCAAGCCATGCTGCAATTCCATGGTTCTATGATCCCTTCCACCCCAACCATCCTATGGTTCTACGGTCTGTAAATACAAATACCCTTTCAACCCAACCATCCTATGATTATGATTCTGTAATCTCCTTTCTCACGGCCCTAGGGTGAATCTTCTCTCATTGTAAAGCTGCAGTGAAAGTGAAGTTGCTGGATACCTCATGATTTCAGGTTAGCATCCTGCACCAGCACCGCTTCCAGCTCAGGGTTTCTTGCAGACAGACCTAGCGCTTGTGCAAAATTTAATTTCTCCCAATTAAAACAAAGAACACCATTCTTTGAGCAGGTAAAATCAACAAGTATTATTCACATATTCTAGGAGGTGTCTCCGAGCGGGGTTTTGCTCTCCAAACAATTGAGTGATCCTCGTGAATTGTAGCAGGGGTGTTGTTCCTCTGTTGGATTTACTGAATCCTCCGTCACCTTCCCTGAAGCCATTTTGTGTCTTGCTTCATGTCCAGGCTGCATGCATTTGCAAATTTAAAAAAAATAAAAATTTTATTGGGTGAAAACCTTGTCTGGAGGGGACCCTGCATGGTAGGACCAACGCTTCCAGCCTGGCAGCCAGCTCTGTGCCTTTCCCTTGCTCTGGGTCCCCACCTACTGGAGACAGCAGGCTGGGGTGTTGGGTGCCTGCACACCTCTGGCTTTTTGACAGTGGGGCTGGTCCTTCTCCTGTCCCTCCTTTTGGGTACCCATGGTTGGAGCTGGTAGGGAATGTGGGATGGTGGGTGGATACTGGGAAGGAGTAGGATGTTCACCTTTAGGACATCTCCCCAAAGGGCTGTGGGCATTCTCTGCTCCCCTCTTTCATGCTGCAGCTCTCAGAGCTTTGTGCTGGGTTTCCAGTTCGCACCCATCACTGCTGTTACCTGGATTGCCACCCATTGAGTGGTGGGATCCCATCCCAAACCTGCTCCAAGGGGTCACTGAAACCTCCCGGGGAAATGGGTGGAAATGGGGCTGCCAGATCCCGCAGGTTTGCTCAGAATGAAGCTGAGGTCCCAGAACAGCCCTTCCAGAGCAGCATTTAGCGAGATATCACAGTGCAAGGGAAAACTCCACATGCAAGCATGCAGTGAGATATTGGACACTTCTCCCTGGTCCTGCCCCAATTTGCTCTTTGCTGGTACTGCCCTCCTCCCTCAGGGGGTGACATTTCCCTTCCTGGGGGCTCGGTGCAGAGCTCCCCCTCCTCAGTGCAGTTCTTGATG